CAGAGTGAACAAAGGGCTGTAACTCTGCATATCATGGAAACGTATGTAACACAACCCAATCAAAGGTTTACTGGTATAAAAAATAGTTATACATAACATAGTAAGTAATAAGCAGAGATTGTAATCATGTTTAGCGGTACAAACTGGCACAATGGTGGACTGATATACTGTTTTGTTTTTTCCTTCAGTAGAGAACCTGGTACAGGGCAAGTACTTACAACCTAAAAAATCAACATCATAAAATATTGTCTATTGGAAACTTCATATATATTTCAAAAATGTTGAATTTACACTTGACAAGTCAGACAAATAATAAACATTACTTATACTTGTAGTGAACTACATGATATAGAGAACAATTTGTGAGAACGATGCTGTTTTACAGATATATCTTTTATCATAGCAATCTTAACTGTACACAGCTGAGCTGTTTTTGTAATTGTTTTTTATACTGGTATTTGTTTCCTTTCAGTTAACTCTTTACATCAGATGGAAGATTTGTATCGTCTTTTTTACAGACATGAAGGTATGCATACATGTACATCATACCACCGCCTGCTTATGTGCGAATAAATCATTAATATCTTATACTCTACACCTTAGTACAAACATATCAATTATGAGTGCTGTATCATCTCATACTATGTTACTCATCTGCTGAAACACTGTCAAAGCGGACATGAAAACCATTAAAAAAATGTTATGTCTTCATTTTGTCTACACTGGAGCTGCTGCAACACTTATATAAATAGATCAATACTTCTATTAAACCTGGTCAGCTGGACATCCACTGGACATCCCTCATTAACAGCTTACACTGGACACAGGTCAGCATCTTATACAGGACACTGGTCAGCATCTTATACAGGACACTGGTCAGCATCTTATACAGGACACTGGTCAGCATCTTATACAGGACACAGGTCAGCATCTTATACAGGACACAGGTCAGCATCTTATACAGGACACAGGTCAGCATCTTATACAGTACACTGGTCAGCTCTTACACAGGACACTGGTCAGCACTTACACTGGACACTGGTCAACACCTTACACTGGACACAGGTCAGCATCTTATACAGGACACTGGTCAGCTCTTACACAGGACAGTGGTCAACACTTTACACAGGACACTGGTCAACACTTACACTGGACACTGGTCAACACTTACACTGGACACTGGTCAACAACTTACACTAGACACTGGTCAGCACTTACACAGGACACTGGTCAACACTTACACAGGACACTGGTCAGCAACTTACACTGGACACTGGTCAGCAGCATACACAGGACACTGGTCAGCAGCTTACATTGGACACTGGTCAGCACTTACACAGGACACTGGTCAGCATCTTACACTGGACAGCAGCATACACAGGACACTGGTCAGCAGCTTACACTGGACACTGGTCAGCACTTACACAGGACACTGATCAGCAGCTTACACTGGATACTGGTCAGCACTTACACAGGACACTGGTCAGCACTTACACAGGACACTGGTCAGCAGCATACACAGGACACTGGTCAACACTTACACAGGACATTGGTCAGCAGCATACACAGGACACTGGTCAACACTTTACACTGGACACTGGTCAGCACTCATTCCTGGTCAGCAGCTTATGCTTGACCTTGATTATCACTTAGGCTATACTCTGGTCAGCATCTTAAAAAGTTTTTACTGGGTATTAATCTACACTTCTCTATATTGGACCCTGATCAATGAAGTTTTCATTGATTCTGATCAACATTTACAGACACTGTTGAGGAACATGTTTCTGTTTACCAATCCCTGATGTAAAGAATTTGCCATGTTTAATTTGGTTTGTTTAACGTCCTGTCAACAACAGGACAAAACACCATTCATATTACAAGTTGCATCAGAGTTAAGGATATATGCTACATATTTGTAGAAGAGTTACCACCCTTTTTTAAAACTTTTAACTCAAAATTACCTGGTTTTGAATATTAAAAATTTTACATTCTTTTGTCATTTCAAAAATACCATTGAGATATGACTCACTTACATATTTTCTTAACTTTATCATTGACAATACAGGAGAAACTGCTAAAGTGATTTATTAAGGCATTATATGAATGAAAGGCATTTGAGGGATGAATTGAAATTTTAAACTTTTATAAGAAATTTAAAATGACCGCAGACATGTAAGTACTAGTCTCAGTTAGTCTATCCATCATAGGCACCACACCTCAACATAATTGGCCAATCATTCTATCTATTCTGTGTCCCAGATAGATTTTTATATTGCACTTTTATAAAGAAGGTAGAAATTAAGCTATTGTATAAAAGAGATGTGTCATCACACAAATGGTATGTATATAAAACCCAAGTATCCATGACATCAATTATACAAAAAATATGAGTTTAAAGAGCAAACCAAAACAATTAAAATTGAAATAATATAATAATTTGAGTAATTCTAAAGCATTTAAATAGGACAATGAAATAAACATTGAAAATTCAATAATGAAAAAGACAAGTTCATACTATGCTGTTTTTAATCTATATTTTGTTAATGATATTTAAAATCTTAATGTTTCTATATTTTTCACATGTTCTGAAGAAAAATTTGTCACATAAATTCAGAATTTATGTCCCCTTTTCACTTTAAAACTAAAAATTATCTTTAAAAATAAAACTCTCATATATCACTGATAAAATATTTTTGTAAATGCCTATACTTAAAATTGTTTTAATGATAGCATTTAACATTGGTAACAAGAGATAACAGGCTGATGCCAACATTATGCATTCTTGTTGCTAATCAATTCAGGTACAAGATTTCACAGTCTGTTACCCAAAATAATAGACTTTATCTATATATTTAAATCCTGCCAAGATGACACATGGAATTATAAGTCTTTTACATGCTATATGCTATTTGAACCTCTCATAATGTACCAGAGCAGATCCACAAGGAATGTCCAGATATCTGCTTTGACAGGCTGATAAGAGTTAAATGACAACACATTAGTTAACAGGTAACTATTTCACTAGGAATTTACTGAAGCAAGCTTTACTGGACATTCAATGAAACATTTACACTTGTGTAAAACAAACATCCTACCCTCCTTCCCCCACCAACAAAAAAAAAGTGGGGGGGGGGGGGGGGGGGGGGAAAGAAAGTCAACTGTAATAAACATGTATTCACTCAAACAGAAGAGATTGTCAGACTGAAGATTATCTAAGGGTAAATAATTTTGCAATAATTTCAAGATACAAAAATGTGGAAAGGAAAAGGAAAGTATGATATTACCACTGGGCCATGATACAGTTTTCATACATGTGCAAATGCAACCCTGAGAACAAGGTAGCAGATCATTCCAAACGTAATTATAAATGAAAATCTATGACTGATTTTGAATTTCAAATTTACATTTATAAAGTGAAAGTACACTTGCAATAAGTTGACATTTTTCAATTCAGTTAAATATCACCACTTTTTAACACTTTCTAAGCATTGTTTTTGACTTTTTTTTTTAATACAAGACATGTGAAGATCCCAAAGGAGCACTATACTATTTTAGTTGTTCAGCTATTTTGGCAATATGCATTCATTCCTACAGGAAGAGTAGGATTTTTAAGAATTTACTCCATTTCCCATATTAGGCCCTGCCCCTCCCACCCAAGGGGGCGGAGACCTTGTACCTATACAAGATTGATTCCCCTTTTGTCAAAATTTGTTCATTCAATCATGACAAGTAGTGTTTTAATAAAAAGGGACAGACACCCGATGCAAGATGGACTACAGATGCAGCACCATGGCATAAGCTCACTGCTCATCTTCAAACCAGGAAATAAACACCAGTTAATTGCAACATCCAATTGCAGGAATATGCACGCCCATACCAGGTTATGTATGATATGATATGCATTTGAATGCATTCCAAAAATGTGCCAAATCAATATGCCAATATTTCCTTTCATCCTTTACAGATATAACCACACTATTGTGATACTACCAAGGGGAGGAGATCTTGGGGCTGGAATTCCCTTAAAATGACAATTGAGTAACATCAGAGGGGTAAGAGGAAAGTAAACATTCATTCTCCTTGAGAGTGAGATACAACTCTGTTGGGTAGGGGAAGCACAGATCTCAAACTTAACAAGTTGGGAAAAGAACTTGGCAAATGATGTGCAAGCCCTACTTTGCAAACATGTTCATCCTACTGTTCAGGTTGTGATCCCTCTATCTCATCCCGCCTCAACAGTCTAAGATAAAGCTATCAATTATCCTTGGGATACAAGGAGGTACATGCATCAAAATGGCTATTCCTATTGTATAATGTAAGTAATGAGAGTGTTTACAAGCCATAATGTCAACAACAACAATTAATGCTGTTTATTTGAACCATATTGATATCAATGTAAAACAACAAAAAGTGTAGGAAATAAAGATTAAACCATAGCCTACATGGAAATTATAATTTATAGCAGACAGAGTGACAGTTATCTTGGATAGTTTTTAAGTCCTGTTATGCACAACCTGTGCAGCTATGTTTCTAGGAATTAACGCAATGAGAGGATATAGTTTTAAGTGTTCCATTAAACGATTATATCTACTCTGGTACTCATATGTACATTTCATATACCTAAACCAAATTTTATCTTCAAAATTAACATTGGAAATAAATTGACAAATGTAGATTACTAATTAATTAATCTTAAGCTAATTTATAACACTAATCACTGTTAATTAATATGTCTAATTAACTTCAAATCTTGTTGTTTTTTTTATAATTGTGTGTGACATAATTGTAAACACAGACCAAAGACACAAAAATATGACATAAAATCGAAATATTAAACAAATATTTCTGTTTACAAGCAGGACAAACTGTTGAAACAACCCATTTCACGAGCGAATGGTGAGAGCATGAGTCGATAGAATAATGTCGTTGTCATACTTTTCCAGATCAGCTGTTCCGTGACACTGAGTAATACACACCTAACACTGACATAAAATACTTACCAGACAGGAAAGAGTATCACCCTGTCTTCTCCTAGTCACAGTCGTGTCTGATATGTGTCAAAACAATGATATTTCTCCCCACTTGAAACTCTTAGCAACTTGCTTAAGTTTGTTCGAAGTTTGTGACATGTGACGTCACGAAAGCGGAAGAGGTGACACGGTTCGGAAGTAACTCTAAAAAAAGTGGGCGTGGCCTAAAACTTGCAATTAAAAGGACTTTAACGGCATTTAAATATTGAGCACGTGGCATTTACATGTAGAGACAGTTTGCGGAAACCAATTACATTTATAATTTGTTATGGGTTTGCCAACAAGTTCTGAAGTACATATGACAAGCCAAAGTTGAATAGGGTCACTATTTATGGATATCCATCAGTCGATTTAATGATATTCATAAATACGTATATATGGTACTTCATATTGATTTATGAATATCCATAAATAGTGACATATTGCTTCTTTGGCTTGCCATACTTAAGAACCAGATGCCTTTAAAAATTATACATGACTGTTACCAGAGTAAATATTGCTATATCATAAATATACCGTATATTAAATCGATAGAACAAAAGACACACACGTGATTACTGACAAATTCAGATACGATAGAGCAGAGTCAAGCAATGCAGAATACAGTTGTTTCGTCCCTCTAGGTCTCATCAGTGATGCTAAGGATCTAAATTTTAAACCTAGAATCCGACTGGGTAATCAAAAGAAATGTCAAAATCATTTGGGGGTGCGGCAGTAGCACCATAATTCAGTGAAATTTCGTAAGTTTCATACATCTGATCATTCTGAGTCGTGTCACAATTCGAATGAATTAAAACATGCAATGCATACAGCTAAGGAGATAGTGGGGCTAATGTATCTCGCGCTTCCATCTGAGAGGTCCTTAAAATTGGAAGGTATAATTACAGTCTCTTTTAGACTTTTGTGGATTAAGAAAATTGGTCTCTGCTACTCCTGACTAGCCTGACGAAGAGTACATTTCGAATTTGTGTTATTGCTGTGTAAATGAACTGTACAAATTTCAACTTTAACATTTTTTACATGTGCGCGGTCAAAGTTATGAACGATATAGGATAATTTTCTGTAGAGGACGGTCTTAAAGGTAAATGACCGGAGGACAGTACAAACAAACATGTTTTTCCCAATATAAAAAACGAGAATACGAAGTCATTAAAATGTATTGAATTCTGTATTATCAGTTCCTCGTATCAAGAAGGTGTGTTATTGGATATATACTTCCCTTTATAACGCATCTATCTGCTATATGCTGCATTATAAAAAGTCCTCTCTTATACTTTTTATGACACTTTTCAATCAACTCAAAACACAAACACACGAATAAAATGACAATTAATTTTCAATATAAAACGCACCGAGAAGCGGATTTTACACGGTTTTTGTTATTCCAATCGAACACAGACATTGTAAATATTAATCCATATGATATAAAAATTCCCACACTACTGTACTGGACCTATTTACAATATACCTGTCTCTGACAGTACTAGACTGGTACTGCATGGTTTCAAAAGGGTTAAAGTTTTCAACGATAATGTAAAATTAAATAGGTTGTTCAATTTTTACTCGCAAATCGGTAAAAAGGGAAAATGGTATGGCCTAACAAAAATATCTACTGGTCTATTCATCTATTTTCGATAAAGTTCCGCTATAAAATACAGGACTAATTTGTCCGCTGCACTTGGCCTACTGAGTATATGAGAGGTCGCCTTGTCATGTGCACATACTGATCCTTCGCTATTAACCAAGCTTTTTGGACGATATATATATATATATTGGTCCCTGTTATGTTGTATTAGTGTGTTCAATATAATTACTACAATTGCTACTATCAAGATAGCTCCTCCAAAATAACTTTAAAAAAGAAGATATCAACAGAAACGAACGCACATCGAATCGGAACATCTATAGGCTTATACAATGAAAGTGGTAGGCTTGTAAAATCACGTGAGAGAAAAAGCTATGCTCACTATGAGAAAAATATTTTTTTAATTGGAAGGAATTATATAACACATGTACCTTTTTTTTTTCAGATTATCTTTATTTGAAAACAAATGAAGAAATATTATATATTGATCACTTATATCAATTAGGAGAAAGCGCAAGGGTCTAAGCTCGTCGTACTATGATAAGGAGAAGAATTTTGAGTAACTATGAAAAACTCACGTGTGTTAGCACTGAGTCCGGGCGCCTCCCGTTTAGTTTGAAAACATTCACTTCGAGTCAGCAACGATAACAGATTTAGACTTTACATTGTATTTTGCGTCTCTTATCGAAAATGATTTCGGGAATCACATTTGTTCTTCTCTCAGGAGTAATTAATCCTTGCTTAAATTGTTCTTATCATGTTGAAGTGGACAATGTTGGGTTTTAAACTGCTTTACTTGAGTATCTCAATCATGATCAATCACTGAATTTCAAGGAAAATGCACATGAACTGTTTTCTGCTACCTCACTGTTACACATTCTCTATTGTAAGAAGAGGGACAACTCTTTGTACAATTGTCGGTAATAATTTTTTTTTTTTATATTAAAATGAAATAAATTCTTTCACATATGTTAGAGTAAGCGTTAATACTATTGATTTTTTTTTAAACAGATCATTAAACATATATCACAACCTTCAGGAATAGCATTAAAGTACGTCACTGCACATCGGTTCACATGAGCGTATGGATAGGTCTTGTGTGTGTTAAGTAATTCCAAGATGGCGACTCCCAGGTACACGTGTTGGTGAACCCATTCCTACTAAAACGGTGCAAAATACACTATCTTATACATACATATTCCAGTTTCGCCATGAAGAGGAAGCACAGAAATCCAGAAAATGTCTTGGACAAGGTAGGTTAATAATTAATAATGTGGATTTACATTTCTGTTAGGTCGATCTGGTGTAAAAGCAGTTAACCCTGTCAATTATTATCAAATCTGGCCCCACTTGTATAAAACATCTCAACTTGAGATTTCCTCAGCTAATATCTCCTTGAAAATATCTTGTATGAAAGTTCCTCAAGGAATTTCAGGACATCCTAGCCGATGACTTCCTCCTGTTCCTTGAGAAAATTTTATACAAGCCGTTTTTGAGGAGATATCAGCAGAGGAAAATCTCGACTTGAGGAAATCTCAAGTTGAGATGTTTTATACAAGTGGGGCCTGAATATATTAAATGTAATGGTCAGTATCCGTAAATCGTTTACAAAAATTATACGTAACAATGTGTCTGTAAAAAGTGTATCGCTCAAATTGTTAGAGAATGTGTTATAATCTGATCAGCAGGTTTTGACGTTACGATGTTGGTTGGCATATAGTATGCCGAGTACTTGGAGGGATGAAGACATTTTAATTCATGCCAATTGCGTTTGTGTAAATCATTTCATGTCTTGTAAGAATGGAAAGTAAGTGAAAAAAAAAATTCAAAAACGCAGAAATGCTTTCATAGTTTTTTCTTATTAACATTATTACAGGTAAAGTGCAGAGCATTTTTCACTTCTGGATGCTCTATGTCTTTCAGTGCCGAAAGAATTTTTCTCAGATGAATTCCTGGAACCACTCATCTTGGATGTGAACGAACATGGTCTTTCATAACATGTTACCTGTATAGAGCTTCACAGATCACATATACATAACACAGGCCCTAAGATAGGTTAAATGCTTTCAAATCTAAGGCTTAATAACTAAATTAGGACTCTTCACCAATATCAGGGGCATATAATAGAGGGATATGAAACTGTCCATATATCTTTGTAAAGCTACAGTGAAGAAATTCAATTAAAAAAGGTTGATATTTCTTAAACAAATGTTTAAGCTAGTTACAACTAAAACACCACCCTAAATTATATACAACTTTTGGTAAGCCAGATATATTAAGAAAATCATTTTTAAATTGATTGCATTATAAAGCTGAGTAATTTTCTGTTTTTACTCATTTTGTTTTTGTATGTCCTTTTACATCAATAGTACATGTACTATGTTTGTTATGAAAATGAGATTCACTTCTCACTGGCAGACAAAACTGCTCTGTCACTGCAAAGTCCACACTACATTAGTATAAATTTGGACATATGTAGTTAATTAAAATTATATAACTATTGTTATATGACTTACCTGTTATAATAACTACCTGCCTTTTTATTGGCACAAGCCACTCTGACCAATCATATTTGTGTTCTTTGATTCCAGCAAATCCAGGTAATAGTCTAGTCTGAATTTCATTGGTTTGTTTTTCCAGTATTCATTCAGGTTTCCATTGAGTGTGTTGGTAATACTACTTTTTCAGTCAAAGTGTTCTATGAAGTAACTATACAGTGAGAAAAAAGAATACTTCCTAATATCTAGACTACATTGTTTCTTTTGGTATCTAATAGAATCTCATTGTTAGTTGGGTTTCCTGGGGTAATTGATCATGTATGTTACATTTATCTATGTCTGACATAATATCATACATTTCTATCATGTCAGATCAAAGTCTCGAAGGGAGGGACTTCCTGATGACTTAATTGTTCAGTGAACAAACACAAAATCTATCACCAGGAAAGTGTCTACTGGGCCTAGTTTTCTTATCTCTCCATATTATATGTCCCTAACGTTTTAGAATATAGAACTTTCTTCCAAATTGCCGAACTCAGTCAAGATGAGCAATTCAGATTGAGTTGATGTCTCTATGTACCAGTAAACTTTATAACCTAAAAAATGGTGAATAATACATCTGTCCATTTGAAATAGGAGTCAATAATTGTTCTCACTGAGTTTGGAATACATTTGCTTTTTCAGATTTGATATTGTGCTTTATTTCTAGAATGTGTTTTAACACCTGTAGAAGAACATTGGAATTAGATCACTAAAGATTTTTTTTTGATAAACAGAATAATAAACAACAGAAGCTGGGTGACATTGACAGCGAAGATAGTGAGGAATTAGATGATTTTGAGGCAGATGAAGATGTCAATGCACAAAGTGATGATGTAGATGAGAGTGAAGATGGAAGTGAAGGTGAATTTGAAGACGATATAGATGTTGATTCAGGAATTCAATCATCTACAGCAGATGACACACTTTCATCCACAAAGATAAACAAAAAAAGCTTGTTCAAACCGCCATCTAATGATGAACTAAATCAGCTGAAAGAGACAGAGAACCTCTACCATTCAAGTCTGTTTCGTATGCAGGTAAAAATTATGATAATGGTTTTGGATAGTGACATATCAACACTTTAATCATTTAATTGACATGAATGTTTATACAACACTGTTGATATTATTGATATAATTCTTAGTCCACCATTATCAAATGGTGGAATATTCATATTGCCCTACATCTTTGGTCTATCATCTGTCCATCAATTTTCCACATGTAGATTCCCCTTGATCCCAATTTGATTTTAGCATCAATCAGAAAAACAAAATTGCTGACAGGCAGCCATCTTGGATTTTGACAATAAAACATTATCACCACTATCTCTTCTGAAGTACTGGATGAATATTTCTCAAATTTCATATATAGGTTTCCCTTAGTCTCTTGTTGTGCCTGTTTGATTTTGTTACTGATCAGAAAAAAAGTGACATTATACTTCGGAGGAAATCAGAGGACAGTATACAGAAAAGAAGGGAAGAGGTCCTACTTTAGAGAACAAATAAAGATCAGACTGGATGTTTTCTTTAGGATCTCTTGACATATCTATTGATAAGACTACACAAACAGTATATATCTTCAAGTGGGTTTAAACTGACAATGAAAAGTCAGATTTGTTGCTGCAGGTTGAGAAAATGTATGCCTCGATTTATCAAATGTAATTTGTGGATAATCATACCTTTTTTTAAATGCATTATTTCATTAACTTATTGATTTATTTTTTAATATATAGATTACAGAGCTTCTGTCAGAAGTAACATTGAAAGCAAAACGACAACAACAAATAGAAAAAGTCTTCACAACTGTCAAGAATTTGCTTTTAAATATTCCAAAAGGAAAACCCCATGAGGTAAGTATGTCATGGACGTTAAAAACTGCCTGAATTAACTGTCAATTTATTCTGCAGAAACATGTTAAAAAATGATACAACAATGGTTCAACTTTTGACTTTTAAATAATAAAGATAGATCTTGTATTTAGAAATGTCTCTCAATTCGAAGGAAATAAAATGGAAGTCAGGAATAGGCTCATTTTCTTGTCACTTTGAAATAAAATGTTTTTTTTTCTTTTTACTGAAATGACCAAACAAAACAGTATATACATTTATATAGATATATTATGTGTGATTTTTTTCCCCAGTTGATGGACCAAGATTGGTTACCAAAGAAATTTGTCAAAGTCCCATTCTGCCAGTCACCAAAAACAGTTAAGGGACGATTCCAATTTCTTCCTCCTGTCGAAGTGAAGATAGTGGGCAGCTTTTTGTCAAGAACTGCTGTAAAACCAAATGTGAATTTAGACATATCTGCTACAATGCCAGCGGTAAGTTTTATACAGTGTTTATCTAGATATTTCAGTCAATAGAATTCATTAATATAAAAGTCACTTTGATAGAGACAGATGTTTTCATATATCATCCATTCTTGACAGAAATTACATTTCTTTAGTAATATGCATTAAAATAGTGCTGTCAGATATTTATTAAAATGGAAAGCAATTGATTATTTCTACCTGTACTTGTCACACTTCCATCTTCTGCTGGTTGTGTTATAAGAACGTGTATGTTACTGGCATTACTTATCTGAAGAAAATGTTTTGAAATATCAGAGAAAAGACAAATTTAAGCGAGATGATATCTAGAAATCCTAAAACAAAATATCTGGATATTCATGGATGTCCCTATTAATAACAAAATGCTAGATGTTGTTCGCATATTAGTATACTTTGTTCTGTTATAGGAATGTCTTCAGAGCAAGGACCACCTGAACCAGAGGTACCTGAGGAAGAGAGCTCTTTACTTGGCTGTTCTTGCTAAACACCTGAGGAAGAAGGAGGAAGTGGAAGACTTAAAGTTTACATACCATCATGGCTGCCACTACAAACCTATCCTCATTCTACAGGTGAAAGGTAGGCAAAATTGTTCTCATGTTTTAACTGACAGAAAAACAATAATCAGTTGTTTTCATTCTGGTGCAATGTTGATTTAAAATTCGGTTCATTTTGAATTTTTTCTTTCCTTTTACAGGTGACACAGGAAAGCCTGTTACGGTACATTTACATGCGGTAGCTGCAGAGGGCATGTTCAAACTGCACCGTTTCCATGTTAACAAGAACAATGTGAGAAAACAGTGGTACCACGGTCAGACAGAGGAGGTCGAGGAAGGTAATGGCAAAATCTGTTAGGTGATGTTTTACAAACATAGATTCTTTATCATATCATTTCTTCAGGAGGAGGAGAGTAATTATAGCTTGTGTACATGAATGTCTGTCCACCCTGTTCTATCACATCGCAACATTTTGCATTCTGTCCCCATCATCATAAAATTTCACTCGTCAACTTTGACAATATCTTGGTTAAATTCACATTTCAGTTCTTCTGAAGCCACTTGACCGAAGCTGGTGTTAATCCCTGTTGATATATAATACATAGAGACTACATGGAAAATAAAATATAAGCAGTGTTTTGGTGAGGATGAAGAAAGACAGAAGTGGTGAGCTTCTGGCGAGCCACTTTCGTCTTTCTGTCCCGAGTCAAAATATAGGTTTGTTTTAAGACACTGACCATGTATTCTATTCATCCAGCAACATTGATTGAAAATCAGACTATTGAAACTTAAATAATTTTATTGTTCAATCTTTGTTTACCTGATGTTGATGTTGATGTTGACGTTATGCTGAGTTTTGCCTGATGACATGTGCCAAAATTAAGTGATTTTATGAGCTCTTGTAAATAAACTTCTTCATTACAAAATATATAAAAGCACTTATTTCAGCAGTTATATAAATTGTTAAAAGCAACTTTTTTCGTTAATTCAGAAAAAATTCTGTCGCAAAATAAATGTACTTAAGTTTAACTTACTTTGTTACTGTACTCAGTAGGGGTATTGTTGTCATTACAATAACGTACGTTTGGTGTTTGACAGGGGACCAGCCTGCTACATCCTCGTACAATATGGCTATTCTTAGTGACCTGACGATGGCCCAAAACAATGACCACTTGACCAAGACAGTTGGGGATAGCCAAGGGATCAGGGAGGGAATCCATTTGCTGAAAGTTTGGCTTCATCAACGGGAACTCAATATGGTTGGTATCCTTCGCAACAGTTTATTAAGAGAAAAGAATATTCAGTGAGATACAATGTAATTGCCAAATACTCTAAGATGCCTTAAAATAATCTTTCTGTTTAGTGGGCAATAAACACATAAAAGAAACCAACAAGCAAGCAAAAGTTGTTTTATGTAACTCGATTTATATGCAGAATGATACTTATTCTTCGTTCTACATTACAGGGTTATGGCGGCTTCTCGAGTTATATCCTGTCTATGTATGTGGCCTATCTATTGTCCAAGAGACGCCTCAACAACATGATGAGCAGCTACCAAGTCTTCAGAAACACTCTTTTAAATCTTTGTAAGTGTCTTCCTCAGGCTTGTTGAGGTGTGCTGCAATTAGAGATTGTCGTTTAGAGTTAAAATGAATTTCTCAAAATTTTATGGTGAAATAAGATTTATTACATCACATACAAATGAGTAATCTACTTTTTATGGTAAATAATGCATTTAAATTGTAGGGGAATTATTTTTCATTTTTCTGTTGAATTTTCAGCTAAATCTGATTGGACAGTACAAGGTATCACGCTGTGTGATGATAACATAGATTCCCAGCGCCCTCTGTTGTCTGATTTCCTGGAGACATTTGATGTCGTGTTTGTGGATGTTACTGGTTATTTCAATATCTGTTCTTGTGTGAACAAGACTTGTTATAATCGGGTAAGATATTGTGTAAATCTTTGTATATCTTATTAATTGTATGTGAAAATCTTCAATACTGTTTTTAGTATGATTAAATTCTTAATATTTTGGAAATTTTCTTCCTGTTGTACCAATAAGATAAACAAAAGATATCAAATATTGTGTGAAAACAGCTGAAATTTTGTGGTATTCTGTGGCTTCTGTCATTGAATCTATTGGAAATAATTAAGTGAAAAATTATGAATGGCAAATGCTGGACATAACAATATTAATTTAGGTCCTGATAAAATGTATCACTTTTCTCACCCTGTTTTCCAGGTTCGTCATGAGGCTGGACAAGCCATGCGAATGCTTGAGGATCATTCTCTAGATAGTTTCTCTTTTTTTTTCATGACACCACTTCCCTTCCTCCGCACATTTGACAATTTATTTCAGTAAGTTTTCATAGACACAGTTCTGTTCTACATGTAACTTCTAAATTTGTGTCTCATATAAAAAGGCTGTTGCTTATTAAATGTTCTCAGTTCACAAATTTAAGAAACATGCTGCCCTGATCTTTGAAATTATTTACCATTTTCATGCTTGTGCTAATGCTATATGTTTAAAGGCATTATAGAGGACTGACATATTATATGCTCATATTGTTAACTCTTTAGTCACTAAGATGGTACAATCCCGTCTTTCCCCAAGAAAAAAAAATTAGTGAAATTGTTTAAAATTATGGTATTAACTTATTTTTTCAAGATTTGGGAAGAAATGGCCATATGATTTGATTAAGTTAAATAATCAGAAATTTTTTTTGAAAATATGATATTAACTTAATTTTTCAAGACTAGGGAAGAAATGCCCACATAATTTGGTGCAAGTAATAATTTTTATAAAAATAATGTTTTTTTTCTCTGAATATACTTTTCAGCATCAGAGAGTTGTCTTGCCTTGAGACATCTGTAAACAAGTTCGACCTGACGGACAAAGTAATGGACCTGGGTGGCAATATGGTCGCGGCTGTTACTCCTAGTTTGGTCTCAGTACTGCAGCGTTCACTGAACAGGAGGATCAAACTATTACAGGTCAAACAAGAGTGCACACCACAGGTTTGTATTTTTCATGAGTAATTTTCAGTCTGATTGTTCCTTGTTTTATGATGTCATAAGAAATATTCAGAGTTTTGTAGAACATAAATAAAACACTGAAAGAAATCATCAAGCTCTTAAATCAAATTTGTTCAATTTTTATTTATTTATCTAATTGGTTTTGCGTCCACTATTACAGCCTTTTGACCTTTCAGTATTCTCTTCACCTTTGCATTGAGGAAATGATTTTGGCATCTAAGAAACATTATGGGGATACACGTTTGGTTAATATAATAACAGATGTTTTACTCTGATGGAAGATAGGTCTTTATTCTAATGGTTAATGACAGTGGTTGGGTGTAGTCATACACTTGTCTATGCTGACCAGGCAGGTTTTGCCTGGGTACTCCAGTTTTCTCTCACAGTTAGACCCCTTGCATGCATCTGTCTAGCCTAACAAAAATGTTAAGTATACTGTAAACAAGGAAACTTTCACCAGTTTATTTTAGTCCATTTTGCTCTTTTATCAATAAGGCAAAAACAAACCAGCAGCTAAAATTTCAAGTTAGAGCTGAAATATGGCTTATAATGCTTTTAAGACAAGTTTGTTATTAGGCAAAGATCACTATCTTATGGGAGGGCAGGGTAAAAATAATACTGAGCAATTGTTTCTCCGTATATAAGATATTGATATAATATGTTGTACAACTGTTGTGAAATGAACAAGTTTATATGATACTGATATAGGTCACATGCTAGTGCAAGCAGGTGTCTCAAGGGCAACAAAACCTTATTGTACTATCACTGTTAGTATAGTCTGAAGGGCAGTACAAAGAAGTTGAAAATTACTGAAGGAGATGCAGATTGTTACCATGATAAGAGAGGTGTACTGTACCCATTTAACATGTGCATTAGATTGGATTCATTGATTTCTAACTTTGGAGAATTCCTGTTAAATTTTGGCAGAAAGAGGGGTCAAAGGTTGTATTAGACTCTGTATATGAGACATATTGAATAGTTTAATGTGGTTATTTAACATTTTTTTACTGCATTTTGAGTTTCTTATATCTATTACAGTGGGGCATCATGGATGAACCACCTAAGCCTGGCAGTCAGGGGCAGATAACTGTTGGAATTTTGCTCAACCCAGACACCTGTACTAGTATACTAGACAAGGGTCCACCAGCAGACTCTCCAGAGGTCAGTCTCACATCAGTGTCAGTTTAAGTTAATTTTTCTGATTGCACTATTTCACAAAATCAAGTGCCCATGAAATAATATTTTTGTAAATTCTACGAAATTTGAATCCCACAAAAAATTGATAATATTGTTCTGTAGGTTGAAACTTTTAGTGTGATAGGGTTATATGACTCATTGAAATCTCAGAAAAACAGATTTTGACAACATTTACTTTTACATAGTCAGTTTTCATTTAAAACTTTGCATTTGGTATGTATTCATAGGCTGATGACTTCCGTGATTTTTGGGGAGAAAAATCTGAACTGCGTCGATTTAAAGATGGAAGCATATGTGAAGCAGTTGTATGGATGGAAGGGAATTCTGAAATTTCACTGAAAAGGACAGTTTGCTCGATTGCTGTCAAACACATTCTACAGAAGTATGTGTTGTCTAGTCTATATCCAACTCACAGTAACTCATGTACATCATTGCAGTTTTATTTCACATCACGCAAATTTCTCCATTTGGTGTCGAAACCAGAGTATCTAATTTAAGCCGTGTCAAATTTATGGCACTAAGGAGAAACTTAACAAAGATAATGTTATTCTTCCTCATTTCAAATTTTTTGTATTCATAGTGCAATCTTAAGTCAAAAATATAGAAAATGAGACACTTTGAATAGAAAACCTGTCACATAGTATTTCTGTAGTAACACATTTTAATACATTATTTTGTATGTGTAAGTATAAATCTATACCTGGCACACATTTTGTAGTTTATATTTACATAAGTATATACAAGTAATTTAGCTCACAGTAACAAAGTAAAGATGATTTGTTTAGGCTAATGATAACAAGGTTTGGGCTAACAGTAACAAGGTTTATGCTAACATTGACAAATTTTAGGCTAACAGTGACAAAGTTTAGGCTTACAATGACAAGATCTGGGCTGCTAGTGTCAAGGTTTGGGCTATCAGCTACAAAATTTAGGCTTACATTGCAAGATCTGGGCTGTCAGTGACATCATTTCTTGTAGCGTGTCAAAAGCAAATTTTAATTTTGTTTTATTGTCATTCCATAAAATATATGATGTATATGCGCTTGGTCAGTAAGGATATTGTACACATGTACAGGATGGAACCACATGAGTACAAATGTATTTGATTGGAGTTGTTATTACATGTTTTGTTGTTTGGATGAATAAACAATGAAAGGAGAAAGTAGAAATCAATCTATTGGTTTATTTACTGCCGTTTCAAATAACAGATTAAACTATGCTGTTTGGGTGCTATCATAGCTACTTTGTTCAACCTTAATCATTGTCAGGAAACAGATATCATCAACCTTATCTATACGCTTCGTTTTAGTCGAAATTTGGATAAGTCGAAATATTTTCCAGGGCCCTTGAATTTCAAGATACCAAGTTTCAGCTGTAGTGTTTTGTAGTGACATTGATATGAGTATACTGTGAGTGTTAACAAATGCAGTGATGAAGAGACAGATTTATTATTTCTCTTGTAGACAAGCTGGCATACCTACTGAGTCCATATGTTTCATTGGCCCCCAACTTGACCCACTGTTGTACCTGCCAGTCAGGTCAAAGAAAGGAATCAAGTGTTATGGTACAGGGGAAGAAGAGAATGTAGCCATTATGCAAAGCTATGACTCACTCTGTAAACTTCTACGTAATCTCAAGGACTTGCCACTCACAATAAACTCAATACAAGGGACATCTCCAGCATTTCGATTTACAGAGGTGAGTGAAACATTAAATTGACTTTGAAATAAAGTTTGTAATTTATAATTGTAACTGTGTTAACCCCTATTCCACTGGTTCCTGGTAATCTGTAGTCCACTGGTTCCCGTCGATCTGTAATCCACTGGTTACATCTGTAGTCCACTGATTCCCGTCGATCTGTAATCCACTGGTTACTGTCGATCTGTATACCACTGGATCCTGGTGATCTGTAGTCCACAACTGGTTACTGTCGATCTGTATACCACTGGATCCTGGTGATCTGTAGTCCACAACTGGTTACTGTCGATCTGTAATCCACTGGTTCCTGTCGATCTTTAATCCACTGGTTACTGTCGATCTGTATTCCACTGGTTACTGTCGATATGTATTCCACTGGTTACTGTCGATCTGTAATCCACTGGTTCCCGTCAATCTGTAATCCACTGGTTACTGTCGATCTGTATACCACTGGTTCCTGTCGATCTTTAATCCACTGGTTACTGTCGATCTGTATTCCACTGGTTACTGTCAATCTGTATTCCACTGGTTACTGTCAATCTGTATTCCACTGGTTACTGTCAATCTGTATTCCACTGGTTCCTGTCGATCTGTATACCACTGCAATCTTTATTACATATGCCACAGGTGCAAGTTGCATTTGTATTCTGTTTCATCTCATTATTTTATATAAATACACATTCTTTTTTCCACAGGTAATGTATACTATCCTGTTGTATTTTGTTATTTTTAGGTGTTCCCTGCCCTTCAAGCAACCTTCCCAACACAACTTACAAAGACAGACAGCAGTTTTCTTTGCCCTATATCCTCAAGGCCTACTCCTCCGTACACACCTGTTCACAAGAGTAAGTCATGGTTACACAGTGGTCGTTCAAGTGGTTATTATGACTTTGACTGTTTTCCTTTTGTTAGTTTTGTAAAGAAATGAAAGATATTTTGTATGTTAATCTCTGTATTGTCAACCTTTTAGCTGTTAATCTCTGTATTGTCAACCTTTTAGCACATTTTCAACAAAAATCAGGAACAGGGATTTACAGTTTTATCTACTGTGGCACATGTGCTCAACCTCTGACCTATAAGCTTAGCTGTACAATTAAATGATTCTTTTTTTTAAGTTGTGCAGTCAGCAATATGGGATATCATTTAAAAGTCCAGAGTTCTAAAGATATTTAAATTTGAAAGTGACATAAGTCTGGCCAATTTATTTGTGATTATTTGGTAAGGTATATTTAAATTCAATAGAAGTGTAGGCAGAAGCAGAAGTAAATTAACGTCAGAATAACAAGGATGTCGTCAAGGGATTAGTATAAATGTCCGTGAGAGATTTGAATGCATGATTGGCTCTCCTGCATTAGCTCTCCTTGCATGTTAATATGAAAATAAACATCTAGGTCGTTGTAACTATAAATAGAAATCAACAGAAATTTATTTGTCACTGTTCTAGAAGCTGCATTTCTAAATTGCTTGCTACGAGACACATAATCACAAACATCACTTCTTAGAAAAGTTTGACTTCCAATCTTGTACAGTCAAATATTAGGTCACTGTTACTTTAAATAGAAAATAATAAAATGGTCACGTCTTTGCTCTGAAGGCTCTATTACTTCTCCGATTCTTACCAAACTTCACACATGTGTTCACAAAGATCAACTTTAGTATAAGTTCATTCTTTTACTGTTAGTGGTTAATAACTAGGTCAACTCAACTGTAACAAGAAATTTGGATGTCACTGATCTACAGACTTCAATTGTGACATTAATGAAATGCTAAATGCATTGTCATTCATAAAAAAAGTTATCAGCAACATATCAAGTATTGGTATGTGGTAGCTTAATAGACTATATCTACGGCAGAGACATTCACATCATCATATTGGGCAGCGTCTTCCAGTATTACACAGACCACACTGCTATTTATGCAGCATTTTGATAAAAGGTACACCATTCTGCTTATTTATGGTAACTGTAACCTACATTTGCCCTGCAGAAGGTACAAATACAAACATTTAAAAGAGGTGATGTTTGTGAACACATGTAGGTTTCCCTTTACCCTTACCATGTCATACAAATTTGAGGCTTGAGGGTGCGATGCCTTGTACTGTTAGACTTTGGGTAGTAATGGCTGACCTATCAACATTTTTTTTTTTTTCAATTTTATATCATTTAAGTATTCTTTAAGATCACTACCCAAGTACCCATCAGTCATTACTGATATCACTATCTATCTCAAGAGTACAAAATGAAGCACCATGGTTGGTGACTGTTTACTCAAAGTTAATATTCTGTGAAATAGTCCATAATGTTTATAACCATATAAACTTAAATAGTCATTTTTCCAGATGAACAAACATCTTTATTCATAATAATGATATGAAAAGCAAACTGACAAATATCATTTGACACAGATACATTTATCAAGAATCTTGAAATGGTGTGAGCTGTTTACAGAGGTGTTATTTTGGTATCGCAATGCACTCTGGGAAATATTGGCTTTTTAGGTTAAACAGCTACATGTTATATCGTGTTAAATGACAGAAACAAGAAAAGAACATTTCATAATTAATCTTGCTTAGTTTTAAACTCTAACCTTTCAATTCTGAACTAGTATCATCAAGTTAATGATTCATACCAAGAAAAGGGACAGTTTTTAGTTTTCTTTTTCACTGTATGACCTACATACGTTCAATTATGCAGTAGTTGCCACAAAGGTGTTTATCATTTTCCCCGCTGCCTACAATATACATTGTATTCAATTTATCACAGACAACAGTCGTTACTTGCAGCTTGTAAATATGATATAAATATTTATCTATAAAGTTGTATTGTTCAACAGTTGTATGTATGATGGAAGGAAGTGGTAAATGGCCAGATGAAATAGAACCATTTCAGCGTCTGAAGGCTGCCTTTCACATAGCTTTGGGAAAAGCTTTGTCGAGTGATCACAGTCTGATCGTCAGGACAACTCCTGGATATGTAGATGTGAAAAAAGTGAGTTTGATACACTTGTTTAAATTTGTTCTGCAAAGCCACTATAAAAATCTGAAAGATGTGTAATCTTAAGTACCAAATAGATATCTGGCTGTTATGATGTCATTTTTGTTGTTATAGAAGCAACGCTGATACCTTGTCAAAATGGCTTTTCAGATACTTTTTGTTGTAAATTGTGTCATAAGTCCATTGAATATTGTGTATTTTCTGGGTAGATTTTATTAAATGTTATTTTCTCTGGAGAAACATAAATTTACATGTTTTCTCAGGAAAGTTTCTCTCAGAGATACTTTTGTATTTGCAGAATAATTACATCTTTCGAGTAGAGCTTGCCTACTTGCGTGAGATAGCCTTGACTAAGTCTTATCGTACACCTGAGGGCATGATGAAGGTTAGGGACACACCTGAGTCAATAGAACTGGAAAAACAGATTGTTGCTCTCCCTAAACTGACCAGCACATTACATGGGTAAGTCTTTTACAACTGGTTAAAAAATAACATATTTACACATAAAAACTGTTCATCTGTTTAAATGCCAGGTACTGAAAATATATCACGTCTGATATGATTTATATAATTCATGATCAGAAAACTGTTGGCAATGTCCAATGTGGCCAATTTTAATTATGCTTACCAAAGGGAGAGCATATAAATGCCACTTTGTTTGTTTGTTTGTCCATCCATCCATGCGTTTGTCCGTCCATCATAATTTATCCAGAGCATATCACAAAAACTATAAGAGGTTTCATCATGAAACTTCATAGGTAGATAGATCTCAATAAGGAGAAGTGCAGTGTGCAAGAGACATAACTCTCTTTTGCATAATTAGCCCATTTGGAACTAGCGTTTATTCGGGAAGTGTCCGTTGGTTCCACTGATTCTATTGTCTTGGGGGAAGCTGGTAATGTGTCCAAATGCATCATCACCCAGTGCATTTTATTGATAAAATCTGAATTGAAAGCATGAGTTGCACATTATTGTCAAAATCTTGCCCAAAAAATTTTGTACTGAATCCAATACTTTAAATAAAAAAATAGCTTTGTAGTGTAAAAGTATGCTGTGTACACCAACAGGTCAGTGAAATTCACAGCTCAAGGCAACAGGTAATCTTTGAAGGAAAATTTAGTTATGTTGTTGACTAAAAAAAATATGATACATGACACGTACCAGTATGTAAAACAATATGAATCACTCACTCGTGCCTATGGTTGAGATATTGTCAGGATATTGTTATTTATAGAGTACGGTTACAGTACTGTGTAGGTGTATGAGAGATGATCATGATCTGTCATTGTCTCTCTTGAGCTGCAGTAGGTCACGTAAACCATCACTAATCGTACAGCCAACAGTAAGAAGGTCCTTGTTATTTAGTTTTCATTTTCATAGTGTAGATGATTTTGTATTACTCCTTAGAAAAACAAAGGAAAATCAAACGAATAAATGAATATTATGAGAAGAAACTATGGATACTATTGTACAAAATGGCTGAATATCCTCAAAATCCATCCCTTAAGGAATTCATGGAAAAAGTTGGAAATATAAAGAATATATCATAGACTTAATAAATGTGAAAGACTTATGGCATGTCACTGTATATCATAGACTTAAAAAATGTGAAAGACTTATGGCACGTCACTGTATATCATAGACTTAAAAAATGTGAAAGACTTACGGCCGTCACTGTATATCATAGACTTAAAAAATGTGAAAGACTTATGGCACGTCACTGTATATCATAGACTTAAAAAATGTGAAAGACTTATGGCACGTCACTGTATATCATAGACTTAAAAAATGTGAAAGACTTATGGCACGTCAATTTGAAACTTTAAGCACTCTTAGAAAGTTGACTACCCATCATTAACAAACAAAAAAAATGGGGGGGGAACTTGTAATTGCAATGATAACAGAAATGTGTTTTCTTGTCTAATTTTCCAGTATACAACAACAGCACAACACATTCAGTGGTACAGTACGACTTGCCAAACGTTGGGTGTCCTCACAACTTCTGGCTGACCACATACCAGAGGAAGCTCTGGAACTAATGGCTGCCCAAATCTACATAGCTCCTAGTCCATTCAGTGTACCTAAGTAAGTATGTAAGGATTGTTTGTCTAATTAGTACGTACAGGTAAGATTCTGAAGGTCATTATTGAGAGTTTCAAATTGTAATAAATTTCCATTCATAGTTTCGAATTGGCATTGCAACAAAGAAAACAGATTTTTTTTCTTACATTAACCATTCTTATTCAAAATTATTGTCAAAACTATTTTCCAGCTCTAAAGTCATTGATCATTAATGCATTAATCATTTAAGTGATTAACACAAATTACACAAAATGAACCCATTGGTATCTTGTGCTGGATAATAACATCAAACCCCTAAGTTAATTTTCCGTTTCGTGTTTTATAGCTCACCGCTGGTCGGTTTCTTGAGGTTTCTTCATCTTTTATCCAACCATGACTGGACCAGAACACCACTGTTGGTCAATCTAAATCAAGAGTTTACAGGTAATTCTTGTGTCATCAGCATCGCTTTACATTAGAATATACAGCATTTGTAGCCAACCATTATCAGATGGTAGGCTATTAAAATCACCCTACGTCTCTGGTCTGTCATCCTTCTTAAACAGTTCTTGTTATCACAGTTTTTTTAGAAGTACTGAATGGTTCAAATTTCATTATGTAGATTCTCCTTATTCCATATTGGTGCCAATTTGGATTGGCAGGCAGCCATTTTTTATTTTGGCTATGAAAATTGTTATTGCTACTTGGTGTGAAGTACTGGATGGAGCTTTCTTAAATTCTATTGGCAGGTTTCCATTATGCCTAGTTGTGCCTGTTTGACTTTAGGACTGATCAGAAAAACAAAATGGCTGACATCAGCTATCTTGGATTTTGACTATCAAAGTTTGTTAACGCTAGTTCTTGAGAAGGGGATAGGATGGGTGTTTTTTCTCAAACTTGATATTTAGGTTTCCTTTTGTCGTGATTGGTGTCCTTTTTGGACCTGGTAGTTAAAAGTTATCGCTATGTATCAACAAAAATTTTCAAATTTTATATGATTATGAACAAAAACAGAGGAAAGAATATAAAGATAGGGAAAAGATCCAACTTTTAAAGAACATATTAAGACCACACAATAGTGGGCACCATAATCCCAATTGGATCTTGTTTTTTTTCTGTGTACATGTACCATCAGTGTGACCAGATGTGAAAATTCTACTAAGAAGCTTGCTGCAAATTCATGTAATACTTCTCAACTTCTCATTCACATACATTCCAATAAACGTGAACATTTAAGATATATTGTTAGATATATGTCCAACTATTTACTTTTGCATTGGGTGGTCGGGTGGCGCAGTGATAATGCACTTGTCTTACACCTAGTCATCTAGGGATCAATTCATGAAAACCAGACTGCATAGGTTTTACTTAGGTACTCCTGTTTTCTCCCACAATAATATGTGTGCTTACATCGGGGCAAACAAGAGTGAGAAGTAGAAGTTGAAATAACGTGTTTTGCAATATATTGTTATAAAATAAATTATTTTTTTTTATTATGTCTGCATTGCATAGCCTCTAGATGATCCTCACCAAACACAATGTTTGTGTTTATTGATATTATACATTGTAGTTAAACTTGCAAATAGTGTGCAGTCTTGTCACTACTTTTATTCAGTTAGATTTGTCCTGTTCGATGGTTGTTCCTTGCAAGTCTGGCACATGCCATTCTTAACTTTTGCTGATTTTATTTCCAAACTTTTCACACTTTGCTCCTAACCAAATCCTATTTATTTCACATATATAGGTGTGATACACTCATTCATTTTGTTTTCCTCCAGCTGGTGACTATGCAGAGATTTTGTCAAAGTTTTCAAAAGACAGGAAAACTCTTCCCTTGATGTTTATTTCTACACCTGGAGACAAACTGAGCTCCCACTGGACAGCAGGGTCACCAACGGCACCTATCCTCCAGCGCCTCATTTTACTGGCTAAGGAATCACTCAACATCCTGGAGAGTCAACTCAACTCTAATCTGACTCAAAATACCACAGACTTTAAGGTCAGTTGTTACCATAGTAACAATTTTAGTTTACGACATTAGATTGTTGAGAAAAAAATATCATTGTTACTTTGTCTTGACAGTATTTGTAAAAGAAACAATTTTTGGGGTGGAATAAAACTTTTCTTTTGTTGTATTACCAAGTGAAGTTCAACATTTTGTCAAAACTTGTCAGCAACATTTTTAGATATAAACAATTATACTTGTTGACATACATTCAATAATTACAACAATGGACATGGAAATAAACAGACTTACTAAAAAAATATCAGAAATTACAAACAATCACCAATTATACATAAACTTGGTAATACCATCATTATCTGGAACCCTGGCTTCTTCATTGACAAACATTTGAACATGTTTAAAAATGAAAAAAATAATTTGAAACTTGCTGTTTAATTTACTTGCTCATTAACATGTATTTTTATGTGACTGGCAGCAAATATTCCGTCCGCCATTGGAAATCTATGATGTGATCATACACCTGAGACAGAAGATGGTGCCGCGTCAGAACCAAGCTGTGGACATCACTAACGAAACTTTCATCCCTCTTCATCTCACTGATGTGAATTCTGAAGTGATGCCAGTGTACGAGTTTGACCCTGTACAACTGTATCTGTCAGAGCTGCGGGTTAGTATCACTAGCTCTACGTAATACACTCTGACAAGCTTTCACTAATTCTGTGTGGTGCTAGTTGTGCTTACTAACCCTGTTACAGAAATAATCAGTTTGACCAGATAATTTAAGAAACATTTTTTTTGGTAAATATTATTTGTATTCTCAAGTCTTACCTGCTTAGTCATGAGGTCTGCAGCATTTTCAACTAGAACAATATATGCTTGCCTTGTGCCAAAGAAATATTCTTGCTTTAAAAAAAATATAAATATTGAAATGGTAGTAGGGGATCAAAATGTCTAAAGGGAAAATTGTGTAATAGGTTTTAATGATAAGTTAAAGCAAACCAGGTTTTAAAGAGATCGGTTAAAAACTAACAGAAGATCTCTGAACAAGATGAAGATGCTGAAAAAGGACTGTTCTTAGATTTTGTTTAATCAAAATGTTATTCATGAAAACACATCTCAACAGGCATTTCTATTTGCACAAACAACCTATTACACACCTTTCATAGTAGATGTTGCAGGGTATAATATTTTACATGAGATGATAAATGGCTGATTAATTAATCAAATGCAATGGTGTGATAATTAGATTTGCTTCTACATGTAAATGACATTAATATGTTGATTAATCTTGTTTTTTAGGAAGTTTATGGTGAATACGCCCTGTTCTTCTATGATCACCACGGAGGAAATCTTATTGGTGTTCTGTGGAAACCTCAAGCATTCAACAAGGCAGCATTTTCAGTAGGTGGTAGTACATATGCCAGAGTGTAGGATTTGATGAACCCCTTTTTTCAGATGAAGATCGCACATTGTTTACTTGGCATGCAGGAAAAAGTTTTGAACAGATAGCTACAGTTAGTTACAGTAAATAACAGTTAGTTACAGTTATAAGTTAGCTACCGTTAGTAAGAGTTAACTGCATATAGCAACAGTTCGAGTTAGCTACATTTAATTATAGTTAGTTATAGTTAGCAGTGGTTAGTTACAGTTAGGTTAGTTACAGATAGCTGAAGTTAGTTACAGTAAGCTACAGTTAACTATAGTTAGTTACATTTAGGTATAGTTAGTAATAGTTACCTACAGTTACCTACAGTTAGTGAGGGAGTGAGTGAGTGTGGGTGGCTTGTTGGGTGGGTGGGTGGTTGGTGGGGGGGGGGGGGGGAGGGAGGTCGTTCGTTCGTTCTTCTTCTACAATTCACTTCAATGGGATGGATAGATATTTTATTGACAAATTCCTTACATATTTCCCATTGTTGTATATTGATGTTCATTGCAGGTCAACCGCATAGCAGGAAAGATGCCTGTGATGCAAACCACAGACAAACATTCGGACATTCAAATTGTTGCAAATGTTGAGGCTATTTTGGAAGATTTTGAGGTGCTTGGGGAAGGACTGACATCTAAAGTGGAGATAAAGAAGTGGGACTTTGGATCAGTCCAGTGAGATAAGATTAGACCAATTCAACAGATACCGGATTTGCCTTTGATTTCTGAAGGGAAAAATGAAATTAGCCAGACATATTCAGGATTTTGTGAATGGTGTACTTCTGGTCTGCTGCTTTCTACAATAAGTCAGATACAGATATACATTACTTTCATCATGTGTGTTTGTATATAAAACTATTAAATAAAACTATGTACATGTACGTTGACCTTGAAAGTTTGTTTTTAATTAGTTTATACCATGAGGCGTCATCCTTTGTCTTACTGTCATCTGGTATCTTTTTTTTTCAAATGCTAACATAGAGCTGTAATACAAAAAAACTGTCTGATTATTCTTTAAAAACAAATGGTCTATAGCATCCTTTGGTGAAGGGTATATATATTGTAGTGTTAGCCAAGGTTCAGGCTCTTTCAGGTGGCAGACAGATGGGGCCCCAATATGCAAAATTTGAAAATTCTGCTTCTGTTTTGAATGAAATTAATTTTTTTTCACCAGCAGATGCACTAAACTAAAAACTCTGTATTCTTTAATCCCAACAGATGAAGGATTTTTAATCCTATCCTTGAGTCCATCATCCAGCTAGCATCAACTTTTCTATTTAAACTTCTTCTTGATAACCAACAGATCAAATGTCATGGTATTTGTCCTATAAGTTCCTAGGATAAAGCCTGAAAACTTTGCAAAAAGAAATGACCTTCACCCTTACTCAAGGTCACAGGAAACAAATTTGGTAAAATCATTACACAAAATCATAAGACTATTCAGATGGCCCCAAAGTATGGTACTTGGCTGTTAGGCCTCTGGGACGAAGCCTGACAAAGTTTTCAAAAATAAAAAAGAAATGACCTTAGACCATCTTCACAATCACTTGGGTCAAATTTTCAAAACCTGTGAAAGAATTCATCTTAAAAACCAAAGTTTAAGAAGCAGGAAATTTGGTGGAAAAGTGTTTTTTAGGTTAAAGCCCAACATGTTTCAAGAAAAAAGAAATTACACTTACCTATGATTCAGGTCATAACTGTTACTGTTTAGAGTTAAGTATAAGAAGCTGTTTGTTGTGGAAATTAGTTAAAACTGACTGGATGTGCCAGCTTTGAATGCCATTGGAGTACAACTTAATATATTTGTGATGAATGATTTTATTTTTAGTGAACATTGAAATTCCTCTTTACGAACTAGCATCCACTAACTCTTGTTACTTTATCTCTCTAGGAACACAGTCCAGTTATTTCATCAACTACTCGTTACTCTGTGTAAAAATCAGAACATAGACTATTGTTTCACTCTTCATTCTCATAGTACTACATATTTTTGTTTGGAAAGTGATAGGCCCACACAAGAATGCATTTTAAATGAATGAAATAACAATGTATGATGTGACATGACATCATGTCTCTAATTGATAGCAATTTAATGAAAAAAAATCCTTTGTTAAATTTTTATATTTATGTGTTGATTTTGTTTTTGAAATGTATCCCAGAAATTGATAGGCTTTGATATTTAAGTGCTAATCATTCAGTTTGCAAATGGTTTTTTTCTTTTATACTGTTGTGAAACTAAAAATATTCCTATCAGATCTTAAATACAGAAAAAAAAATCTGTGTCGACTAGAACATCCACCTTTACCTGTTTTGGCATGCTAGGTAAGCCCTTTTCAGAATGGTTCTGAAGACAGCATACCTAGTATGCCAAAACATGTTGACACCATTAAAACCTGCCAAGATCTGAGAATGTTGTCCATTTCTCTCTTTTGTCTACACTGGTCTCTTTATTCACCAAGGAGTCAATTCTACAGAAGAATTACCATCTATACCAATTTGCCTGTATCAGGATTTTTTTTCTGTTTCATTCTTTAGCAGACTATGATGGAAAGAGTAAAATTTAAGCTGTTGGTCACAAATTCTGAAAGATGTATTTATAATTTGTGAAAATACATTGAACTTGCCCATATCAGTTAATTGCCTACACTGCTGAAAGCTCAAAGTCTTGAAAATTTGTCCTGTACAATGATTGGAATAAATATGGAAAAAAAACCAGAAAGAACAAAGTTTCACAAAGTCAAAATTTATTGTTTAACAACTGGTTTTCTCAAAAAAAATATCTCAAACATCAAGAAAACTGATAATACAAAAAGACGGGTTATAACAAAAGTATATGGTAATCCAGGTTTATCCAGTAAACATTTATCACTGGCACTCTCTACTTACACTCGTAAATACAAACATCCAATCGCTCAGCGTAATCAGGCCATTATTTAAAACACAATTTGTATCAACTATTACATGATATGACAACAATGTACAAATTCTATGTACAGGTGAAAATACAAAGGAGTGAGTGCAATCTACAACACCTCAAAATATCCTGGTTAGAGTAAGTTTTTGAGAAGAACAAACAATAACTGAATTAGTTGTTCAGATAAAAGTTACATGGAATTGGTGTGTAATTCTTAAGAGAAAGAGAGCATCATGCTCGGTTGAATAGATAATAAGTGTGCAATCTACACAAGCTCAAAATATCCTAGTTAGAGTAAGCATGTGAGAATTTTTTTCCATCAGAAACATCTTGAGTTCTAAAGCCAGTCACAGTTACAGCATACAATAAGTCTACATCAAATATACATCATGATGTACATACACTAAGTCTACATCAAATATACATCATGATGTACATACACTGTAAGTCTACATCAAATATACATCATGATGTACATACACTGTATGTCTACATCAAATATACATCATGATGTACATACACTAAGTCTACATCAAATATACATCATGATGTACATACACTGTAAGTCTACATCAAATATACACCATGATGTACATACACTGTATGTCTCTATCAAATATACATCATGATGTACATACACTGTCAGTCTATATCAAATACATTCCCCTGCTATAACCAATCTTGTAGGTAGGTATTATCATTTGGTATTAAACTCACATCAACATACACATCCAATCTGTTGTGTTTTAAAGAAACACTTTTGGGGAAATTAATAAATTAAGGAGGAAAAACTTCAAAAAAATACTGGGAGTCACAACATTAAGGTTTTATTGACCGGGACAGGTAGAGTACTACCCCTCCTTGTCCCAGTAGTCACATACCTGTGTATGCACAGACATAACAAAGTATCATTAACAAGCAGATTTTCTGATAATTCTCATCTGTCATTGCCATTCCATTAAAATATGAAAAATCTATTAATGTTTGCATCATTTTCCATCAAATACAGTAATAATTTGTACATGACCAAATGCTAACTGTCTAAAAAACAATACAAATTATCTTCACATACAATAACTAAATTAACTGTTCAGATAAAAAGTTACATGCTCGGTTCAAAAGATAATAAGGCAAAAGTGATGAGTGCCCTGAAACTTTGGTAGAACAGAAATTCACAGAACCAATTCTTCTAACATATAAACAAGTATATTTTATCATATGTGCAATACAAATGAATTGCACAACCGAAGTACTAATACATTTTCACAAGTAAAATTTTTCAAAGTATATTTGCAGAGTAGGATCACATGACAAAACATCTTTTAGTGGAACAGTGGTTTTCATGTTTATTTTAACAATCCTGATATAATATTTTAATCATTTCCTTATTCAGAATTTTTTGCAAACAGACCAGGTGTACTCATAGTTGCCATTAATAGTTTGTGCTACTGTACCCGTACAATCAAAAGGAATTTGTCAATCACCTGATACATAGGCACAAACCAAATGTACTGTTTAAAATGATTTACTGAACACAAACACTATAATTCTGAGTTTGTTGGCGCTACCAATTTATTTTACAATTTAATACAATGATTCTTTTGATAAATCTCGGGTCAATTTCATAAAAAATATTCTTACACTGATTACATGCTACATCACAGAGAGTGAAAGTTACACAAGTTACATAACCATCACTTGCCTGACATGTCTTCAATGGCTGTACCTTGTATGTGGGTAAGCATCATTTACAAAAATTTTACAGTTGAGTGAATCTTGCTACTGCTGGAGTTTGAACTAGAAACCCTTCCTTCTGTCTCTAGCCAGACACTGCTGAAGGGAAATTCCCACTATCCAAGGCTAGTAATTGTAAGACAACCTGTAACCTCAACTTCTATAAATATGGACCCTCTCAAGTCCAAGATACTGCCATTTCTATGATCATAATCATGAAAAAAACACATCTAATTGTCATTTCATGGCATGACTCTAGTTGTATTAGAAAAAACATACAAGACAGAAAAAAAAAGACATCAGTGTATTTCCTGAATGTTCAAGTTCTGTGTTCCAGTTTTGTATTTTTAAGTATTATTCTGCAGAAAACTATTAAAAAAAATCTTCATTTCATTATATTACACCTGGATTTCATTATGTAATATTAGCACTATTTGTACACATCAGAATATTCTAACTGTAAATTCTACTGTAACTTAAAACATACAGTAAATATTTGGTACTATTTACAATGAATATTCCAAGACTAAATTTGATTTCCATTGGTATTGTAAATGATTAAGCAGCTCTTGTTACTTTTTGTTCCTTTAGCTATACCAATATGTACGATAAAAACATTGTATTACTGATAATTTTTGAAGGAAACGAACATCTGACAATTTTTGAGGGAAACAAATATCTGAAAAGAAAAACGAAGTCCGATGTAAAATTACCATGTGGAATTGATCCTATTTATATATACCTAGTTTGACAGGGGGATTCAGGACACTATCGGAAAACTGTGCGCTGAATTGCATTGTACAGTCCATGGAACCAGCAGTTCACAATGCTGTGCCTGTTTCACTGACAATTCAGTAAACATTAAACCTATAAACCAATTGCCCAATCATTGATACTCGAAACTCTCTCCCAAAAAGACAAGTTTAATTCCATTTTAATTTGTTTGACCTGTACTAGATTGATTTGTTTATGATTCAGATATGAGAAAGGCCAGACAAGTATACTTATGTAAAGTCCTTTAGAACCATGGAAGATTTCCAAGCATTATAGGAACCTTAACAAGATCACTAATCTCAATAGCTCGAGGCTGATCAAACAGTGTGGTGCTGTGTGTAGATAAGGACTGTACCATTTTTTGTAAGTATACCTACCACCTACATGAGACTCCGATTTACACTGTAACTGTATAATTAGTTCATAATTACCATACCTGTAGTAACAAATCATTTACTATAATACAGAGATAAACAAAATGTCAATCTTGTTCACCCTCATGATAATACTGTAAAATTTTGTGTCTAAATGGTGTTAAAATTTCATGGTTTATCAAATACAAATTGCATTGTGGATAAAGTCTGGTGGATAAGTAGCACTCATGATAACAATTAAAACATCGGACAACAAAAAATCCTGCTGAACCTCCGGGCAAATATTATCTGGTCATACCGTTAACTAAAGATTTATGACAAATTTATGGATTTATGGAAAAAACGTACTAAGGAATTAATGTAAAAAAAAAAACATGAAAAAAATAATCATTTATGTCCAAAAATGATGTAGAGTAACCTCATTTCAAACATCACATAGCTTCTCTAACCCTCTGCTTGAATGGGATATTATTTCTATTGTCACTCCAATGAATATGTTTTTGGTTATGTAATGCATTCAAATGTAAATTAAGTTACAAGTCTTTTGTGACTAAACAAAGTTGACAGCAATACAAGGAAGATGTGAAATGATTAAATATCACCAGTCAAACTGATATCTCATGATAACAACAATTAATCCACATGCACTCTCACTAAACAAATCAAACAATGTTTTTTTTAAAAACACACAATCATACTTCCAGTGTAACAACTCAAATTTCCTCATGTGATCCTGTATATTTCAACTGTGTGTCATTTTTCTCCGTCAATTTGTTTGTGATTGTCTCAGCAACATTGTCTTTTTCACTGTTGGTTTCAGCCATTTTGTTATGGTCCATGAGCTGTTCTGATTGGTCCATTTCAAACTCAACAGGCGCATGAGCATTTGTCGGTATATGCACAGCTGGGGTTTTGGGTGGTATTTCCCAAGGTGGTCCAGGTTTCACAGACACTTGGATACCATAGGGGTCATCAACGTCAGTCTCAACGTCATATCCAGAATCATACAGGAGACTGCGTGACTTACCAGCCATAGGAATATTTTTAGCATCCAGGCTGTCTCTCTTTCCCAGTGGGCTGAAGTTGGGCACAATGATGAAAGCAAAGGACAACACCAACACCTACAGAAAGAAAATTTTCATAAAAATCAAAGAAAAATTCATCACATCTTTTCAAAATATATTATGCTACATCATTTTTATAAATAAATAATAATGTAATTTCCATGCTCTTAAAATAATGTACAAGAAATCATGGTGTAGAAACCCAGGCAAAAAAAAATAACATAAATAACAGGTTTTAACAATGATTTCATATCTATGCGTAACTTTCTACATGGTATCCATTTAAAACTTACCATAATACATGTAGATGTTTGTGGCTTATTTGCTTTTGATAAAATGTAGGACTGTAGTTTCTTTAGCTGCTGTGTGAGTGTTCTGAAGGAATAAAAAATAAGGAAATTTTACAACATTAATTCACATGCATTGAATATGAACAAATTCTTCAATGACGAAAGTGAACTTCAGGAAGTGAAACATAAATGTAATCTTATTCAAGTGACAGTGGTGAATTAACCAAACAAATATTTTTACCTATTTATTCTAGTGACAGTGGTAATTTAACTTAACAGATATTTTTACCAATACTTGTAAAGGATGAAATTAAGTTAAAATATTTCTTAATTTCCAAATAAGAACAAAAAGTGTTGTCTTTCTCATTTCCATCAAGCATAAGAAAATGATAACAACACAACAGGGCTGCTGAATCATCAATATTTATTACCGGTATTCAATAAATGTTACCTTAAATTAACATTCCATGAAAATTTTCAAACACAACTAAGTTGACTTACTGGTTATGACCTTAAATTAACATTCCACAAAAATTTTCAAACACAACTAAGTTGACTTACTGGTTATGATGTTCAAGGCTTTCCACCTTCTTTTTGAGGTGTTGATTTTCTGTAGTGGACATTTTTACTCGCTTTTCTAACCCCTCAACATATCCCTGCTTCCTTTTTCTGCTTTCTTTGGCTGATACCTGCAATCCAAAAAATGTACTAGTTGAGAGGCTGATCAGACCTTGATGAATTTGTCACCTATTAATACTTTATCAATTCATATATCAAGATAACTGAAAAATTACAAATGCATTGCCATGATTTTGAGTGAGAGTTTAAAGACAATTAAAGATGATCTTCATCTAGTTTTGATTGGCAGCTGTGATAACCAACCCTATAGAATAAAAGGCCAACATTTCACATCTTTATGTGCTCAATGCTTTCAACAGAGAGGTGACTGTCATAATCTCCTCTGAATGTTCCCACCTTGTTCCTTATTTTCCTGCGAACAGCTTTGAGGATCTTCTCTTCCTCTTTGGTGAGCGGCATGTCTGTTGGTAGTTGGACCCCTTCTTTAGCCAGCAGTTCTTTCTCCTCATCTGATAGTCGTAGCTCAGGAAACTACAAACAATTGCAAACATCATACTCTTATATTGCTGAAAGTCTATAGAAATTAGAAAATAAAAAGATAAAAACATACATGTGGTAAAATGTTTTCTCTCCATTCCTCTCTACTAACAAGTCCTATCATTCAGCATGTTTATAACACTGGTCATTATATCAGATAAAGACTGACATTTCAGTGAAAACTTTTCAAACCATTCACACACATGGACACAACTGTTTAAATTCCTAAATTCAATCTGTAATAAAAACTGACCATTTCTAACACGAGTAATAAACCACACACCTTTGTAGTTTTGGTGCTGACATCCTTCATAGTGAATGGCAGGCCGTCTGTATGGTGGGAAGAGACTTTAATGATACGGACAGTATTAACACAACTCAACCCTTCACCTTCACTGGTCAGGTCATCTGCAGCAAAAATTTTCTGAGTTATAACATATTCTGCATTAGATAATAACATATTAAATTATTTGTTTCAAATTTAAAGATTCTCTTTCCAGCTGAAAGGAGTTTGTAGATCTTGCACAGCAGTTTACAGACATTACAAACACACTTTGTACTTACAAACTGATCTGTTCAAAACTTAGTCACAGGTTTGTAGTTATTAAAAGCCGAAATCTTAACATAGATATACACATTATGTATAAGGTAGACCTATGTCTGTTATTTTTTGTCACTCTCTAACACTGCTTGAAAACATGTGGACCTAGGATATTTCGAAAGCAAATAAACATATGAGGTAACATCCTCAATACTCTTGGGGCTACAATTATTTCTGGTCTCTGCAACTCTGTAACATATCATGACAAAATTGAAGGTTCCATGCGCAACACCTTGTGGACAAGACTAAAAGACAAGTTTGATCCTTTGATGTACATCAAACGAATCTCAAGGTCACATAACAGTATATCATAATGGCTTTGAAGTTGGGTGTCACTTGTTTGTAATCTTCAAAATGAGCGCATAAGCCTGTGACTGCTCAGTTTTTTTCTCTGGTAGAAATCAAATAATTTTGCTTGTGCCATCAATTTTGCCATGACATGTTCCAGGGGTGCAGAGAGCCAAAGTGATCATAATCCCTGGCCTGGAGTATTGAGGATGATGAGGACACTGGTCAGCCAATTTCCTTATTAAATAATCTGATGCTGACAGATAGCAACATGTTGAACCTTTAAGACATTGATAAGGTCAACCTCGTTTAGCAGGTACTTTGGTCTTTCTGTACCTACCTAAACTAATAGTCACTGCTTCATTGTTTTTTGTAAGTGGATTATCAATATTTGTCAAGAAGTCTTGTTCACTGAGGAGATGCGATGTTGTTAAACCATCCACACCATCCATGCTAAAGTCCTCCATGTTCATATCCTCCAAAGCTAGAGGACTATGTTCTGATAGTTTATCCACAAAATCTGTTGTGAAATTTGTTGAGGAGTCTGATAAATAATATTCTTTTGGACTGTTCTGTAATTGTTCGTCGCCCATGCTTCTTGGCGAGTAAGCACTAGATTCTAACGACACTCCACTGTCACTGTTTGTTGGTGATCGTTGAGCGAAATAATCATGGTCTGTATGGGTAGAGAAAGATTTCTGTTGTGGTTGGTCAATATCTATATCAGTATTTAAGTCTCCTAGATTTGCTTCTTTAAGTACACTTTCCAGCAGGTCACCATCTCCTTCTGAGAAAAGCCCAAGATCTGACTGTAAATAAAACATCAAAATATTATAATAATGTACACTTACATTTACATGGTTTAATAATAAATGATAACTATGTTAGGCACACTTAATTGAAATAAAAGAGTGTAAAAAAAGTCATTACAGATACTGTGAAACTCTTTCCGAAATAACAGTTTGAAGTAGTAAACTGTTTAGTGTAAAAAATCTTGATAGAAACAATTTTGAGTTGTAATCAGTTGTAAGCACATTCTTGTGGTGAAAAAATGAAGTTTTCATGTAATTTAAATTCAAACAGAGTCATTTAGTACCAAAACATCCTGGGTAAACAAGTTCCAGTTAGCATCCTTTATAGAAGAACTATCACTGTCTGAATCACATACATTGGCATCATAAAAACTCTGTGTTTCAGTATCATCCCCATGTAGTTTAAATGGCATGAAGACATCATCTGTCAGGCAGTAATTATTTTGAATACAGTTTTCCAATGCCATTATGAAAACCAAATAATGCTTAGTTTTGAACAATCCAAGTCACAAACTAAACATCTAAGTGCATACTGCTTCTGCACATGTGCATTACATATATTTGCCTATAGGAATTAAATGTAGGACCACTTTTGACAGGAGACTCTTCTATTCTGAATGATGATGTGTAACAAAACAGTTGGTTCCCTGCATATGATGAAATATCCCTGAGCAATTGGGAGTCCCTGGCTACACACATACTGTAATCTCCACTTGTATATGAGTCATACTGATTCATGATAACTTGTATATTCAACTTTTTCCTTACAGATCTATTTCAGACAGCTGTCGCACAAGGTTTAATGATTGTGTAGTTTATACTACGACAGCAGGGTTATATTGATTTACAATAACTTCATTCATAACGTGAAAATTATACCCCGTGAATATAAAAAGCAAGCACTTGCGTGGGCAGTGTCGGTGATGGTGCCGTTTTAATTATTTTTACTTAATATTGGAAACGCTTTGAAGCGATTTATTGCCGACATCAAAATTGGTTGAATGATACTTACGAAGTTAACAGTCTGTATTCCCGAAACTTCAGATTTAAGCAGACCATCATCGTCATTAAAAAGCATGTCCAAAACTTGATTTGGGTCAGATGTGACCGCCATCTTTCTTGTTTACGGTGTTACTGTAATGCGTAAATTATGTACATGCAATTCCACTTGTCGTGGAATATCTATCGTCACATGAGAACACGTCACCGATCAAAACAAAAATCCTTCCTTCGTCAAAACCTCCACGTGTATCAGCGTATATAAAGCACCGATTGGAAAGCCCTGCCAGTTCAATTGTGCAATACACACAGATCGTCTACCATAAAATACGGGTGTTTACGTCCGTTGCCAATGTCAGTTAGGAAAACATTTGCAAATAAGCGGTTTAGTGTAATCAAAATGACATCAGTTACGACAGTACTAATGAGCAATTCATGCAATTTCAATGTCAAAGTTCCATTCTTTACCAAGCTGTACCTATCTCAATGAGGATGTTGTTCTAAATTTAGCGTCAGTGTCATCAGCCACAAGACACACCGCTGGAATGACGTGGAAGCGGAAGTAAACAATTGATTTTCGGAACAAATGTTATCCTTAAAACTGATCAAAATTCACGAGTTATTCCGAAACCAACTGCAACCCTCTGACCAAAATATCTTTAAAATAATGATGCCACATCACTCAAACAATTTTGTTTGCGTCCACTTTAGCGATTCACTGAAAGTGTTTGTATAAACGTAGATGCATTACTTTTGTATCATAAACAGTAAGCACTAACAATTGTTATCAAACGTAATGTCTTTTAGAGAGTACATTAGATACTGCGGGAAAATGTGAACATTCCCAACCACACAAGCAAGCAGCATAAGCCGAGATGTTAAAAAATAGTAAATTAAACACTAAATATTATTAAGCGCTGCTACAACGCAAATCTTCACTTATTCCCAGTTTCACAAATATCTGATACAAACCAGACGGACTTCGCACAAATTTCCATACCAGGAATAAATATACACGTGTGAGGTGTGTGTGTGCGTCTGTGGTGACTATATATCATATACATACATGGACCGTGGATTGGAAATTCATGACAAGTCTCTGTGGTAGAGAGGTACCATGCGATTATGCTATTTAAATAAACATTATCCAAAGCGTTAGGAAAGCTTTTCACGACGAAGAAAAATGTGAAAATCATCCTTTAATACAATCAACTAGTAGTTTGAATGGTATAATGAAAACAAAACTTTTTTTTCAATCCTGACTTTATATTAAGATCACGTGGATGGGTCTACACTGAGATAAGGCATCAAATAGTGTACAAAATACCAACGTGTTATAACCATAATCCAAACTAAGATTCAATAAAACTAGGGCAAAATATGAACTATCGAAAAATAAATATTTACACGTAGACTCTTGAAAAAAAAAACAAGGAGAAAAAGGTCAGATGATACGGAAGAGTAAACATCTTCATATCACACCAATAAATAGAATATTTCTCATTGTGATAACTATAATGACCGTAAAACGTCCCAATAATTTTCATCAAACCTGCATCTTTTGAAACCTCGTGTTAGTCGACAACTTCTTGCACGAAAATTTTGATAAAGGGAACAGGCCATGAATATCAAATTAATTGCGATATGTAAACACCGTAGGTAAGTGATGCGGAGATATAGCTATCCAGAAATGGAAAATTTACACAAGGGAATCATCCCGCTATCATACATTCATTTTAGACTTGAATCTGCAATTGGTTTAGCTTATTCCTTGTCTGCAATCACTACCCGTTACTTTTCGGCCAACAACTTACCTACACTTCCAAAGGAGAAATACTAGCTGATTATGCACTAGCATTTTTATACAACCAATCAGCCAATTAATTATAAGGCTGTGGGTCGTTCTCATTTACATTGGATTTCCTAACTCCATAAGAGCCCATAGAAACACTGCGCGTCATTGCCGGTTTGCTTAGTTGATCAGCAAAACCTTTATCTAAACGTCTCATTACAATTTTCCTTACAATCAAGTGCGAGATCGAGTTTTGACCAATTATGGACATCCTCTCCTCCAAAATAGTATTTTGAACATTTGTTTTTCCACTCTATGATTATACCATACCCTGTTCAGCTCCATTCAAAACCGAAGAAACGCCTTCATGAGCGTTTTTCCTTTATAGAAATGCAAATAGCTATACAATCATATGCTTTTTAACTACTTAACTATAACCTTTTTGTCGTCAAATTCAGATCAGATATCTGGTTGATAATATCTTTGTCGAGTGTAGCGGTAAGATCTTCCAATAAATTGCGCCCCATTCTCGACTGATCTAATTTTGCTCTCTTACAAGGATAAAAGTGTTACCAAAACAGGTTACAACGATCTTGCCAAGTCCTTCCATTCAATATCGATGATGTCTTAATTGTCATAAAACAAATGTAGATTTATTGACCATATCTACTCATAGATAACCACCATGATTGGTGGTAGAGGGTTGAAGGATATGTAGTCCTCGAGGTCACAGTCAAGTTGTGGTAGCTACATTTTGATTAACACTTTAGATTATAACCAGATTTACGGAAATTACAAAATTTATTGAAACATGGGGCAAATGCATCTCCCTATCTAGATTTTAACATTTTTTGATAACTCGCAATATTCCCCTCATTTGTGTCCTAGGTTTAAAAATCGTGGCTTTTAGCATCATTAACGAGTCCTAGAAGGACGAAACAGTTGTATGGCGTAGCATCACTGACGAGTCCTAGAAGGACGAAACAGTTGTATGGTGCAGTTTAATTAACTCTTTTCCTCTTTTGTATCTAATTCTAAATTTGCATTGATATATGCTATTCACGAGTTTGTACGTTTTACAATCATGTGCAATATGAAGTTACGTATATCATTTTCTCGTCAGGGTTTTTATTTGTCATTTTCTTTTTGATTTCAGCTTTCTATGGACTTAATAAAAAAAAAACAATAGTATTGTAAGGTATGTTTCTAGTCGCCTTATATTTATTAAAGTTTTTAAATTGTTGATATTTTTCCACCTCCCACCTGACCACCCGATAATGTTGTGCGTTCTAGTACATGTATTCCTTTCTGGGTGTTTGGTCTTCCTTTGCTCGCGGGTATATGTTGTTCAAAGATGTGTTTGTGCCCCCGGATCGGAAGATCGGGGACATTGTTTGGCGCTGTGTGTTGTCAACATTAACCTTGTCCGTAACTATTGCTCCGTTAGAGGTTGGGCTTTCATATTTTACGTGTGTGTTCCGTGTGACAAGACCTTTCTCGCGGTACCAAATGTTCGACCTTTTGAAAAAAATTGGGCTTAACATAAAACTGTAAAACATAAGTGTTTCAAGAAGTCATGCATGCAATTAGCACATTCCTTACACACTACAGTTTTAATGTCCTACTTCAGAATTTTATAGTAACTGGGGGCATAATGTTTCACAAACACATATTGTTATATATTCCAGGCTACATCTAGATGTATGGTATTTATGTTTTTCCCGCGTGATTGTAGATGGGGGCTTCTGTCTAACCGTTGTAATTACTTAAGCTGTAGTTCTTCCTGGCAGTCTATTGTTTGGTGACATGTTTAGGTGAAGAGCAGTGACATGTGATTAGCCTACACAGAGGCTAGCATTGGAGTCATGTTTTCGTCGTTTATTAGTACGTTACCTGTAAACACGTGTCGGTTCCCTCACATGTTGATACAAGAAGACATCCAAGTCACACGAAGGAACTTTGTAGATATATGCTTTTGTCTTGCTGAGCTTTTATTTTTATTTCAGTTTATTTCCTTAAAACTGAAGTCTCCGAGCCGTCATCAGCAAGCGGGCGTTTGCTATTTGGATTCTCAGAAACAGTCTCTACCGGACTAAATAGTTTTCTGGTGGGCTAATCGGGTTTCGACATACACAACCAGTCAATAAAGAGTTGTTGCCCCCAAATTCCATTTTACACCCAACAAATTCTTGATATTTTGAATCCTCAGTTGTATACAATTGAAATTTTACAGAGATAACAATTCCCATCGTACAGTGTTAATCTGTAATATCAGTTTGATATGTCTTTGCTAAAGTGACTTCTAGTTTGGCAGATGTTAGTATACCTACATTTGAATACAAGATGAACAGTCCATGGCTATTCAAATGTTTATAAACTAACTCCTAACTGTCATTATTTTTCAGTAATAATTACCATAACTTTAATACACGTATCTCCCACAAATTCCCATTTAAGAGAGCGCAAAAACCCAACCCCACCCCGACCCGCGCGTGAGGAGCCCCTTTTACCGCCCGTCGTACATATATCATGGACTCCAGACTTGAGGCGGTTAACTATTTGGAAAGGATCTAGTTCCTTTGTTTCAGACACCCTTTTTCAGGTGTTATTGCTAGGGCCATGCTGTAGTCAGCTTGTGTATCTGATGCAACTTCTATCGTCGATGTTTAGAAGTCATCATTTTCAACCTAATAGCACGCGCCTGTGTCTTCTCTTTGAAGTTTCTTACTATAGTAATATAACCCATTCAAGGTGCTGAATTGCCAATATGGATATTGTCCATGCCTTTTGTAGGTGTTCTTTCCTTTGGCTTTGGATGACTAGCTTTACTATCATATGTCGTTGTTTTCTTGTTTCACCTTTGCCTATTCTGTAGAACATAACAATTTCAAACCTTTCCAGTCCAAGGCTTAGTGCAAGCTTCTTATATTACTTTCATCTTCTTCTTTCTTTGATGTAATGGACACGCTTCTGCAATTTCTGGAACTTTAAACAAAATAAATTTTTTTTCTTTGCTCTTTCTTAAGTCTAATTCTTTAAGTTTTTATACCAACAGGATTACAAGCCTCCCTGCTCTCAGTCTCCTTCTCTACTTTGACCACTCGTTTTCCCTTCCCCGATTCCATTCTCTGTACCACTACACTATCTATGATTAACGATTGGATATTAATATTGCACTATCGCACCGCCACTTGTAGTTCTTGTTAATACTTCTGAAGAAACATGTGCACATGGCGCTGTCAACACTCAACATTTTGACACCATGCTAGTTTGCATCCTTTGCAAACGAGTCCGTTCTTTTTCAATGGTTCCAAAACACATATGTACACTTGTGATACAGAGGTGCCGGTTGTAAATTCGGGACCTTCTTAATTCGTGTGTTGTCTCCTTTACCTCCATCCAAAGTAGCGTAATAGGAAGGAGTATTGGAAACATCCTGTCACCGTTGGTGTTCCAACTAGCGACCCTTTGATCTGTAGGCAGACACACTTACGCTCGCCTAAAGCCAAGGAACTAAGCACTCGACTTCTACGCTACTCTCTCCTTCAACCCTGATTTCTAAAGAAGCATCTCAATCTCTTACCTGGTTCTACACTTCTACTCCTGGAGTGGTCAACGGCACAAACTCCGAAGAAGGAAGGAGTAATGCAAAAATTCTCTGACCCCTGGTCTGGCCGGACAATCTGTCACTTAACTAAAGGGAAATTCCCATTTGTCCACTAGTAAGGCGACTAGTGTGTTCTCAGAGGTTATGGTTACTGGCAAGTGTAAATTTTCCTTATAGAGCACAAAGATGTTGGGATCTTCCGTCGCTCGCATAATCTGTATTAGGTATTAGGGGATTAATTTAAATCCTTTCAAAAACCCGATGTTTTCGACCTTGGGAAGCTTCGGTTAACATTATGACGAGGCAAATCGACTATTTGTATGGGTACTTAGCATCGAACACAGACACTAGCTACTCCACGCAGAAAAAGGAAGAATAGGACGATTTATCCCGACCATTTTGGTAACGAAATAAGGAGGACTAGACATAAGACATACATGTCCAGAATTTAGTATAGTGGCTGATTTCTGCCATTTCGTTGTGTCGCCCCGACAGAACGATGATCTTTGTATTTTCCGACCCCCGCTAATTATTGTCATGCAACATAACGAAATGATGCCACAACGACATTGTGAAATCCTTTGGCCAATTAATTTTCGTCTTTTCGCCGCAACAAAACAAAACGTTATGTCACCCCGCTAGTTATTGCTTTTATCGGCTACAGAACAAAACAACAAAATGGTAGAAATAAGCTACCATGATAGACTAAGATGTGGTGATGGATGTACCTCGTCCTTGAGCAGTTTGATATTGCTAGAGTATCTGGTGTTACTTACCGGACAGACTGAAATTAGGAAGCTCTAAAAGGATCACAATCAGTAAAATGAAAAATATCAACAACAAGAATTTTGACATTAAATTATCGCTTCAGGGACAGAAGCATGTCCGTCTACCACCTCTAATTTTCCATTAATTACGGAATATTCGTAGCACCAGTTCATATTTGGTTCTCTTTTTTTTTCGTTTAATGGTTCTACCCGTCAAGGTCCATGCTATTGTCTCCCTGCTGTGGACAACCTTTGGATTTGTTCCACAACTCAATGGAATTTCAGATATTTTTGTTTGTAGTCCCTCTGCGAGCTCATGGCAGTCCAGTAAGTTGGTGTTTCTCAAGTGTTGTTCTAAAAATCTCCTTGAAACTTAATAAGCTTGTACTGCATATTATATTTTGAGATTGTGATACAGTCTTATAGATATTGGATTAAATATCAACGGGTAATTGTAATTCAAAGTGTACTTGGCAATATTGGGGTTGTTAGTGTGTCCACAAATTTCACAGCTTTTTGAGAAAACAAGATTTCGACACTGTGCATATTTGAACATTTAAACTCACGTTTTAGCCGTGAAATTACTGATTTAGCTTACAAAAATAAATAAGAAAGATTTTCACGGTGAATCTTGAAAAAGTACAAGGAGAGTAAGACCAGAAGATAATGCATCTTTTACCTCATCGCCGACACCCACCATGTAAACCTTGGTCAATCTAAGTAAGTAAGGACACATTCTCAAATGAGAACAAAGTATACAACAACGGAATCAATAGACAAACGAACAAGCATCAAACACGTCCAGCTTCATATAACACAAAAGATATTTCTCAACGAGATCACGATGACGATCATACAACATCCCCATAATTTTCATCAACCTGCATCGTTTGAAAGAAATATGTCGACTGCCGGACATTTTGTTTTGTCTAAATGGTCTGCAAAAATAGGAATCTGGAAACACTCACTTTCAATCTTTAAAATGACACTTCCAGTACTACCCAAGAATTAACAAGGAACGAGAATATTGTTTAAGGATAGACAGACTATTGTTGGGCTGGTGACTTTAAGTGTTTGCCTTATTAATAGCTCCGTCTAGATCTCCAGTCAGTGTGATTTTGAAATAGGGTCTTTGTGTGGTAAATGGTGACTTCCATGAAACCATCACATTTTTTCATGTCCAATTTGGTTAAAATATCCGAAGATACAGCCTTAACTGTGCAGGACAGGTTTTGTGAATTAAATACAGATTCATTTGCTGCGTAAAATGTTTAATAAAATACTAATACTTGTATATAAAAAGTTTCTTATTGGGAATTACATATACAGTGTACTTTATAATTGTTAAAAAATCAACCTGCATCACTGTTTACATGTATCTGATTATAGAACCTCAAACATATAAGTAGAGAACAGAGTAAACTGTAGCCACTTGGATCACAGCAAAAATCTATACCATTCCAAAAGTCAGATTTCCATTTAGTGACCTGTAGCGTGTTTTACATCTAAAGAACTTTTTGCTTCTATTCTTAAAAAGGAACATTTGGTTTAAATGATGCTTTGTGCTTCATGTTGATTTTAATTCAACCCCTGTATCATTCTTTTATTATTCACTAGCTATTGCTAAGTAAATAAGACCTAAAACCTAGTCACCAAAACATTTCCCAGATAGTTCTGGTACTAGAAATCTACAGAAAAAGCATGTAAACTCCTGGCTGCCAAGTCATTTAAATGAACCTTTCAGATTTCAACACCTTTGACCTCATTGAATTTCACATTTTAATGATTTTTATCATTTGAAAGTCTAATTCTAGAGCCAAAGAATTTTTCGGTGAGTGTAACAAAGGCCAACTCTGCAGATTGCTCAATATGACACAGACTAATAGGTTCTGAGGAATCATAGGACACTCCTCTGCCATGGCTGCCACACTATGATGTAAGCACATTTGGACCAAATGGGCCTGTATTGCTAACCTGGTATGCATTTTATAAAGAAGATTTTTCAGTCAAGTCCATTTCGGCAAGTTTTTCTCCAAGCATATTCTTTAATACAAGTACCATGACTTGAGACCTATTGAGAAGAAGTTGTGAGATATTTCAACAACAAACTTGGTAACCTTTCATCTCAGCATACCATACTGTCCCAATGTCATGACCCAGGGCTTCTTGTTACATTAGATTTTCATATATCTGACCCCTGTGATCATGTAAAGATCCATCATAAAAACTTCGTCTTTCATGGAACTAACCAAATATTATGAGGCTGGGCCTATTGGTTATTGAGAAGAATACCTTTAAAGGGAATTTGACAATGAACAGAGAGATGTTGTGACACACCATAAGCTTGTTTGCCCCTCTAACAGCATCCTAAATACTCCAGGGGTTACAATCACATTTGATCACTGTACCCTTGGAACATGTAATGGTAAAAAGTTTTTTCTCCTGGAAGCAATCAAATTACTTCGCTTGTGTATTCAATTTTGCCATGACATGTTCCCGGGGTGCAGATAGTAAAAGTGATCCCTGGAGTATTGAGGATTCTCCAGCAGATGAGTTAAAATAATATAACTTGCTTTCATTGTGACATTATAGAAAGCATGTAGTAGCAATATCCTGATATATTGTAAATAGTTTGGGAAAATGATTAAAAATATTATCATATAAGTGTACTGATGGAATTTTGATTGAATGGAAATAAAAATTGTACTTCATATTACAGTAGCATGTTAGGATCAACCAAACAAGATATAGAAATCAAACCAGTATATGTGCAACAACATATTTTGACCTGCATGTCCACAGAGACTAGAAATGCTGCAGGTCAATTATCCTTTATATCAACTTACCACCAAAGCCATTGACTTTATTGCACATTTAGCAAATTAAAATCTCCTTGGATTCCCCTTTTTATAAAGTACTGCTTTAAGTGAATCAAAATTTATATATATAACATCACTAAAAGTCATTATCACACATGTTAAAACACTTGAAATAAATACATTGCTCTCCCATGTACATCAAGTGATATGTACTTAACGACATTATTCTTAAAAATTATACCCTGAAACTACCAGTAATATTTCACATTTCTGATGACCAAATACTTTTTCAATGCTGAAAATACTGAGTTATTTGTTAAAATCATGAATGTCGTAATCACTAAAAACTTTTACGATAAATTTCTTTGATTTTGTCATCAACATTAACAAAATATGTCATTTTAATCACATGTTCTTTCGCTAAAGCAATATTTTTTTCTTTGAAGGCCTTTGATATTTCAACCAAGCAACCTTCCAAACGTTGGTTGTTTTCTGTCTGTATTCTCAGCAAGGCCTCTGGACAATCCACATCTGCCAGTTCTTCATTTATTTCCATGATCTCCATTAGAAAGTCTGGGTCCACATCACTATTACTTTCTTCTATAGGTTGATTGTTCAGCTCTAGTAGATACAAGGCTCTAGAAAGTGGTTTTGTTAGAGTCATATATGCCTTGTTGACTAAAGAAGATTGTGTCTCGGCTAGGTCTCTCTCTTTCTGAAACAGAATTCAAATCTTTTTGGTCTTTAATACGATGTAATTATGATATTTTTATTTTATTTTATATTGGGGCATATTGTTTTTGTGCTGTCTGTTTGTTTATCTGTTGTCAACTTTCTCCTTGCCCATAACTATTTCACTGAAAGAAATTGAGCTTTCATATATGGCCTGTGTATTCCTTGTGACAAGATATTTCTGGTGGTACCATGTGACCTTGATCATGACACTTTACATACATTTAAAAAATTTCAACATTGGCCATGCCTATTGCATCATAAGAGGTATGGCTTTCATATTTGTCCCATTTTAGAATTTTGTCGCAACCAGATGACTGGATATATGTAACCACACAAGTATTTGCTGAAATGATGTTACATGACAAGTTCAATAGAATTTTGTAAAATTTGGTCGATGCTCAATGAAATTCTTGAAGTTGATAGACACAGTATTAACTGCACATGCAATCTTCATCTCACCTCAGTCTTCTGGCTGTACTTATCTGGATGCAGAATCTTCTGTAGCTCCTTGTAAGTGAACGCTAATGCTTTCAAGTCAACATCAAATGTCTCCTCAATATCTAAAACTTGGAAATAGGTTAAATCAGACACTTCCTGGACAATACCACATTCACAAATAAATAATTCAGATCTACCATTTTGTGTTCTGCCACATTTCCAACAATTTCTCCCAGTCAGCGTGGATAACGATCTGTTCACAATACATGTGATTTCCGACAAAGTGAAAGTAGGCTTGTCACTAATATGACCTCTTTGTAAGACAGGCGAGGCTACCAAATGGTTTGGTTTAAAAACAGTAATTCCATAAAACTTTCTCTTGCAGAAGTATCCATTAAGTATATCTGAATGTACATCATTATTTTGTTTCACTCTAAAATACGTTTTACCGATAGATTTCTTCGACTCTGTGAGGCAACGGCGTAGCATGACTCTGATGGGGGCAGACATTTTGATTCTCGCGAGATTAAATCACGTGCTTACACTATCAGCCCTGTTCAAGAATCGTAAATCCCGCGAGAGTTGAATTCATTTTTCGTTTATCCGTCGATCACCAGTAAGTATCTTTTTTAAATTCTCTAGTTTATTAGTCCAAAGATGACCAACGCTGTCCATACAAAAAATTACTTCTGAACGACGTTTGAGCCGTGTCATATAATCAGTGCTTAAAAGTGACCACACGAAACAAAGAAAGTATTCTTGTACATGTTGAAGGGTTGCGTTAAACAAAAACACAAAATGAAAAATACATAATTTATTGGTAATATTAAGTAGTGGGTTATATGCGATAGTAAGATTTAAAGATGGTAATTTATACGTGTGGAAGCTAAGTTTGTAAATGAGAGGACATGTTACAGATACATTTAGATTATGAATTGTAACTTTGGGTGCAAACAGTACACACGTACATGCGCCATCATAAACATTTTCTTTTTGACCGATATGAGCTCCTTGACTTCTACATACACTTATTAAAGATAGGCTGAGTGTTGCAACTTGCGGTAAGTAACATATATTCTATGACCATGTCTCATCGCCCTTTATATACAAAATTTCAAATTATGAACTTTGTCTTAGCTTTCAGGTATAAGATTTCCATATTACCCTTTTTAAAATGAATTTAAACCAGTTTCATTGCATAACAAAATACAAATGGATTGGACACACACTATCAATGTTCTCTCCATAATACAAGTATACTTCAGTCACTGTTTCATGCATCAACATCAAATTTGTAATGTACATGTGTAGTTAGATTATGAAAACAGAACAACTTATGTTTCATACAATCACTTTTATGAGCAGATCAGTTTGACTTCAGACGCAAGAAAATTACCAGACTTGGTATACAAATCTTGAGTATTGATACAGGGTCCTCAGATGTACCACAGGATGCCACATATTTACATGTAGACATCAGACTTGATATCTTGTGTATCAATCCAGGGGCTTTAGATTAGACCACTTTACTTTCTTAGCATTAAGCTTTCAGTTTGTTTTTGGAGTATATCTCCTCTTCTGTATGTAGTCTTGAAGATTTGTGAACATATAAGGTAAAAGGTTAGGTCATTACATGTGACCTTCCAATTACCTTTGTGGGCAGTTTCTGTTGGAATTTGTTAGGTTAGGTAGACCCCCAGAATGGATAGGATCTGCAAAATTGCCTGTAGCAGTTTAGAATATATGCACTCGTTAGAAAGGAAATGTGTCATATATGGCATATACTGTTTGTTAAAGTCAATGACCAATGACCTACATTACCTGAAAAACTGGTTCTTTGGTATTTGTACCATTTCATATACTTAGGATCTTCAGGGTTTTTTTTATTTGGGTAGTACATGTTCAGAAGTTTGTGAAGTATTATTACCAGAACATGATTTTGACTTTTTGCCTTTATTTGCATCATTCTTTTATCATATTTTGAGTAGCATGAAAAATTGCTGTTATTTGGGCACATAGGACAGGTTGGGTCAATTCAAACCCATCCTCAATACTCCAGGGGTTACGATCACTTTCGTACCTGAAGGTTCTATGTGCCACACCTTGTTAAAAAGAAAAAAAGACTACAACACTAATTTGATTCCTCATATATTCATCAAACAAATCTCAAGGTCGCATAACAGTACATTGTGATGGTTTTGAAATTGGGTGTCGCACCTTTGTAATCTTTAAAAAGAGTGTATCAGCTTGTGATTGGTCAGTGTTTTTGTGCCTTCCATTTTGCCATGACAAGCATTTAAGGGATGCAGAGATTGCAACCCCTAGAGTATCAAGAGTATCAAGGATGATTCAAACCTGATAAAGCATTTAATAGTCTTTGCAATTCTGATTATAAATAGCCAAGATATATTATATTTGCTGTTGTTTGTAATATTTTAATGGAAAATTTTGCTTCTCTATGTGTTTACAATCATTAAATTGCATTAACATGGTACCTTGGTCTGGACTATCGTGAGACTGTGTAGGGATGCTTCTCAAAACAAATTTTAGGTATATGTATAGAGAGATTACTGAAACTGAGACATGAAATACAGCAAATATGTAATAAAAGAAAGTGGAAATGCCACAATTATTATTGTTATTGTCTGTTGAGCTCTGACCAAAATAACATCTACTTTTACTATATTTTACTGCTGGATGGACATGTGTAAATGTGTTGGAAGGGTTGGGCTTTATATCCTAACCTCTGGTAAGTCTTGATCCTATCTATTTAATATGTTGTCAGTCTTGCAAGGGACTGGAGCATAGTATAAACTTAAGGGGTTCCCTCAGAGTCTGTCTAGGAAGACTTCTTTGGTCCGATGTAGTTACTTCAGTGATGGTAAAGATTTTTGATATGTGTTATTAGTTAGAAAAAACAAATTGATGTTTTGCTTACATTTCAGAAATGAGTAGAAAACAAACACCTAGTGAATTTTTGAAACAAATTATTGGGAGACCAGTTGTAGTGAAGCTGAACTCAGGTGTTGATTACAGAGGTGAGTTACTGGATTTTATTTTATTTCTTTGCATCTGTCCACCTTTTTCTACAAATTGTTAATAGTCATGAACAACAGCAGATTTTGCCCAAATTTGGTCTGAAGCATTGCTAGATGAAGGGAAACCAATTTGGTATAAATGGTGGGTCTAAGCCTTTTGGGGCAGGAAAGGCAGGGCCTAGGGACAAAGGATGTTAGTCCAATAGGAAAATAGATATGTTGTGTGTTTTGTGCTGGATATTTAGAATTCCTTTTCCTTTAGATGTAATGAAGCAATTACAGCCAAGCAAAGCCAGATGAGTGATGCAACCCCAATGGACCTCTTGTTTAAGTCAAATTAGCCTCATAATTCCCTTGCAACTGCTTGGGTTGTATGTTTGCATCTGGTTCAATAGTAGACAGGGAAGCAGCTATTTTCCTGCACCCTGTCCAGGTCAAAGAATGAAACATTTTCTTCCCCATTAAAAACATTTCCTGGTAATAGTTTTCTAGGTTATACATTTCAATAAACAAACCATTATGATTTTATTTGTTTAATTTTTGGCATGATGAGATTTTGTCTGATTTTTCGTCAATCTAAAATTATGGTTTGAGATTTCCCAATGTCATGAACTTATCAAAGTTGATTAAGACAAAAAAAATTGAGGTTTTACATGTTCCCTCACCAACTATATTTGTGAGACTACCACAAACGCTATTAGTATTTGTAAGGGAATCTATATTTGCATGGAAGTTGCATCATATCATAGCTCTGTATTTATTCCTAGGTGTGCTGGCCTGTTTGGATGGTTATATGAACATTGCCCTGGAGCAGACAGAAGAATACGTAAATGGTCAACTGAAGAACAAATATGGTGATGCTTTCATCAGGGGAAATAATGGTATGCTTTACAAATCAAAAGTAAAAACAATGCTGTTATAAGGATGGAAAATGAAAATACAAGTGTATGAACTTTATTTTTGCTAAAGGCAGACTGCAATAACAATGTATGTAGCACTTCAGAATATGGACACAGAAAATTCTTGAATTCAGCAGTGGGAAATATCCCCTTTGCCCATTTTAAAACTATACTAATGGTTATTCCAAAATGAATTGCATTGGAAGGACCAATAATATTCACACTGGCATTATGTAAGGAAGGGTAGGATTAAGTCATTAATTACACATTTACATGTCTTTCAGATTAGCTGTTAAATATTCCTGGTATAAAAATGTTAATGACCAAGAAAGGTGTCATCCAGTTCAGAAGTTGGGAAACATTATCCGATAATTATTAAAAATATACTTCAGGGATAATTTGACACTGACATTAGCTAATAAGTTGGTAAATCAAAAACAGCATTTGATCGTTTCAATTAAAGGTAAATATTTTACAAGACCATTTGGGGGGAAAGGACTTGGCATCCAGCAAATTTCTTTGCATACAGATAGTTTAACATGTGTATGTTAATTTTATCGTACCAGATATGATGAATAAAAACTACAACTTTAGACCATTAAAGTAAAATCTTTCTTTTTCCCTTTCAGTATTATACATCAGTACACAGAAGCGGAGGGTATGAGGATTCCTGGACGTTAGTGATGATAGAGTGTAGAAAATGGAAGTGAATGTGCCAAGGATGCAGAGTGTATGTTTTGTGAAGTATGATTGGTATTGAAGTATGAATGTGTGAAAATAGTGGATATCACAGGAAGATGACAATATGACATTGGAAAAGTGCTTTGCATCATATTACCACAGGAATCATATCCAATGGCTATCAATTTGCAGTTTTAATTTTGGCTTGTTTAGCAAATTGTTCTAATTTAAGCAATTTTTGGTCTGTTGATCCAGTTGTCTACTTGAATTAAGTTTAGTATATCATCAGCAAATAAGCTACAATATTTTTTGTATTTTTTTTTTGTCTGGTGTATACTGGTTAATTACTCATAATGTTATCTTTTTCTATCAATTTGATCAAGCAAAGTCACTTTATCACATTACATTTGATATTTTATCATCATGAATATCATGGTCATGTCATTTTATCATAATAAAACAATTGATTTTGTATACTTTATGTATTTTGTTTTATATGACTTTTCTTCTTTTGATGGCAGCAATACAATGAAGTTTTGTCATCGAGTGAGTGATGAAAACTGGTGTAGATTTAGAGAGATTAAATCATTCATCTAATTTTGATGACTTTCTTGAAAAGACAACACAAAAGTGATTTACTACCAAGGATTTATTGAAGAGGAGATCTAACAAACATGTTCAAATTATAACATATTGCAAAGTAACTTTACGAGAACTGACACTATAAATACTGTTATACAATAATCAACATAATAAACTCTCCAATATTTAGGGATAAAACCACAACCATGTGGTTACTACATCATTAACACTAATCTCCAAACAACTGCAGTAGAGTGACCATTTTTTCTGAACAATAACATTGCTGTACACCGAGATGTAACAATACTTCTTGTATACCCTAGCATACTTGATATGGCTTATGGCGAATAACGGATAAGATAAAAGTAGTTCTCGTAAATTGTTTGTTAAAATTCATAATATATAACATGTTTTTGTACCTTTTAACTGATATTATTTATGTGAACACATATTCCGCATGAAATGTACTGAAATAAATTGTATGATGTTAGTTATTAATGTGCATTTGTGCACAGTACATATCTCCAAAATAATATATTGATATATTATGCAAGGCAAATATTGACACATGAAATACATTATTATATTATATGTATGTACTTGTAAAAGATATCTCATGTTCTTCCTACATAAAAATACTGTATACCTAGATAAGTTTGAATATTTCATGGTACATGTATACAGTTTGATTTACAAAATGCTTAGATCCTGTTGATATTAATTTGTATTTGGAACCAGATAAAAATACTGAAGGATGTTTAGCTCAAAGATTGGAAACTAAAAATCACTTAAATTATATAAAGCAGAAGTTTTTCTTTTAGAAATATCAATATATGTATTTCAAAACAGTATTTCATATTGAAGAAAATGAAATTCACCTTTCTTAACATGAAACATTGGATTCAAAATTCAAATGATTTCATTCTGTTGAGAACATAAACTTTTGCTGGAAGTTTCTTTTGATAATACCTTTAAAATCTACAAAGTTTTAGAATTATTAAAGTTTCTGGACCAATTTACAAAGAAATTATGAGTTCATTAACATTTTGACATTTATTGTCACTTAAGTTCTCGTTAGCCTTGTTGCAATACCAAGCATAACTTTTATGCAATTTTGTAAGCGCATGAGCACAAATTCTGTTATGTCTGCAAGAATAAGCATAGATGCCAGTAAATGAATGACCTATAGTAAAACATAACAATATTAAGATCTTATTATTCACAAATGTGTAGAATACATCTTATATATAGCTAGGAGTCACAATATTGTAGACACAGTGTATAAAGGAAATTAAATAAATTTGAACACATTTAATCTTAATATCAAATCAAATGTTTCAGATCTATCACATTACACATAACTAAATAACAATTATAGCAATTTCAATTGTAATGTACAACTATTTGACAAAATCAAATCGCAGAAGGAAGTTCCGTACTGTAAGCTATTTTATGCAATATACCCTGGTACTTAAAAGTTTTAAAGAGAAATACAGGGTTTTAAGCATGTATTTGAAAATGGCTTTTAGATTTAATCTTTTGATAGCTGCAGTTGGTCACTCCTAGAGTGAGAGACATGCTTTTTATTGATGGATATTATTAATAAAACTTGTCAAGTTAATTGACACTTTGTTCTTGTGAATTCAATGTTCTCTGAATCCTTAGTTTTAAAACCAATGCAATGTAAAGTTAATGCAAGTAACCAGATACTGTTGATACTACCTTTGTATTTCAAAACATAAATATACTGGAAAGAACACAAAGCACTTTAATGAAATAAATTATGAAAGTTTCATTCACAACATCTTACTTAACAAGTAGATCAATGTCCTAGTTCAAAAAAATAGTAAAGAAGATATGGAGGTTACAAACAGAATTTTACCCGTTTCTTTTCTTTGTTTTTTTTAAAAATGATGTCATCTACTAAACAACCATTTCACTGCCATTCTTGGTCGCTGATATAAAAAAAATAGTGATAACATGACTTCGTGAAAAGAAATTTACAGGACTGATCAGGATGATTCATAAACCAAGTTTTAATTTTTAGTAACAAAATATTTCTTCTAAGGATAAAACAATGCTTTGAAAGTCTTCTACACAATTTCATAATAATATCTTGTGATATTGCATTGTTTATCCCGAGGCTTGCACTTTCTCACAGATGGCATCGGTCAAGTCTGAACAAGTCGATGATCCACCCAAATCACCTGTTAGAGCCTGGAACAAATAAATTGTCATCCTTCAAAATCATTACAACTGATGTGTATTGCCATTCTGTACATTTACACATTCGTTAATACATGTAAGACAAATATCTACACTTGAAGTAGATCACACCCTGAGTATCATAGAACTTCAACTGTTTATCACACAATTGACCTATTATCCAGTGATTTCCCATAAACTATTTTTGCAATATGTCACTAGTGTAAAATACACTGGACTTTCTTTCTTTGGCTGTGCCAGTCAGAGGTCAACTATGATGTCATAATATGGACAAATGGTGTTACGTCATAATATAAGAGTATCAATGAAACTGATGAATGTTTCCAGAAAACAACTTCATTGGACACAAACTTATAACAAAGGGCAATAATTCTGTAATTGTGGGGTTTAATGCCCTGAAATGGGTACACTGCACATCCTCTTAGTATGACCAATATATCACAGTTTATTATGCCAGTTTAAATGCAAGCAAAATTGTACTACGGACGTGAAATTTTAACGAAGGGCTATACCACCACAGCTTAAAAATAAAAACATTGATGACTTTATTCAAACAAAATCTCACATAAAATGGAAACTCAAACAATATCCCATATTTCTCTCATTTCTAATTGTGTAATACTGGTCTGTCCAGAGCAATATACCCATGTTCGCTGTTCTTGTATTACACACCCATCCGTGCAATACAGGCACAAGTGTATGTTCGTAGAAATGTGACGTGTCCCTTTCCTACTGACATCATCGCCTGATACAATGTATACACATTGGTGTACAAATAGTTATTGCAGTGACTGTTTTGATTTTCTAGGACAGACTTTGTTTGCCAAAGCTAGGTACAGAAAATCAATTTTCCATGTTCATTTGCTGATTAATTGAATAAAAAAAAATATGATTTTTGTGTAATATGGCCTCCTTTATAGTACATTGTTCACATCTGCAGTTATTAGTTCCCAAAGTTTAAGGATGAGAAATGATAGAAAAACACTCTTTCATATGTTGGGATGAAGGATGGGAAATTTCATCCTCAATGTTACAAAATGTAAAACCCACTGAAACGCCTCATATTTTACGACATGTGACCCTTCAGGTGGAATATCACAATCCTTCACCCTGACATATGAAAGAGTCTATTAGTCAGGGTGAAGGATGAGGTATGTCACCCAAGAGGTCACAAAATATGGTAAAAGCCTCGGCAAAGCCTCAGATTTTACGACTTAAGTGACCCTTCAGGTGGAATGTTGTTGTCCTTCACCCCAACCTACAATAAAAAGTCTTATAGTATTGACTAAGAGTACAGACCTTGCCCTCCCGTATCACGTCAAAGGCAGCTGTTTCTATCCTGTCTCCATATGATGATAGACCCATATACCGCAGCATCATGACAGAACTGAGGAGAAGGGCAGTTGGGTTGGCTTTGTTCTGGCCGGCAATATCTGGTGCTGTACCATGGACCTAAGTGTGCAAGTGTATCAATTTATTACATTCAACTTTATCAAAGTATAGTAAAATGCCGAAAGTATATTCAAATTTTAAGGCTTTGGTTGAGTTTTGAACAGGTCAACAAACACAAAGAAGTTTCAATACCTTTTGTAAGTACTTCCTCTTACTAATATATTCATTACAACAAATCACAAATTTCCTTCTTTTTTTTTAGGCTATAACCAGGGTGAATGTTTTTTCGAGGGTGCATCTTGATTCATAAAATGTTGGTGTCCTGTTTTTGCATTTACCTTTGATTGACATTTCCTGTCATTGTTTGCACTTACCGACTCAAAAATGGCACCATTTTCCCCAATGTTGCCACTGGGAGTTACCCCTAGTCCTCCAATTAGACCAGCACAAAGGTCACTGCAACATGTACATGGAAATTACTACTACACATATCAACAATTGCATGTCAATCAATAAAAGAAAAAAAATCTAAAAAATAAATAAATCATGTGCACTTGCCATCTAATACAGACTTTGAGTTTCACCTTCAATCTAATACAGACTTTGAGTTTCACTTGCCATCCAATACAGACTTTGAGTTTCACTTGCCATCCAATACAGACTTTGAGTTTCACTTGCCATCTCATACAGACTTTGAGTACAGACTTTGAGTTTCACTTGCCATCTAATACAGACTTTGAGTTTCACTTGCCATCTAATACAGACCTCGAGTTTCACCTTCAATCTAATACAGACCTTGAGTTTCACCTACTATCTAATACAGGCTTTGCGTTTCACCTAAGTTCTTTAGAAGATACAATATACAAATGTATATTATTGTACATATTTTTATTATTCACATACAAGATGTAAACAAGAGATTGCAGGGGAAGCTTGGTGCCCATCATTGATATTTATTCTTTTATGAGATGAATCTTACCCCTTCTGTTTTACTAACATATATATATATATTAATGGGTAAATCAAATAAATCATATTCTAAAGTCAACAAACAAGGGAAACCTATATAAAATGTATGGCCGATGTATCTAAAGAAATGCCTTATGGTATTGACAACCTTCAAGTGACTATACATACTGTATACAAAATGGCCACCTATTGGCCATCTTGCTTTACACATCAGTCAACAAATTGAACATATGCAACTACCAGGGACCGAGGGGAACCAATATATGGATTTTCAAAAATATAAAGTAAGTCACCAATTTTAACTGACAAAATCCAATATGATCACCATTAAGCCATTTTTGTTTTTCTGATCAGTCCCACAATCAAACATTACCAAAGAAAACGTACATATGAAATAAAAAGATCCTTTAATACTTCTCAAGAAATAGCATCACAAACAAAGCAAAACTAGATGGATCAAAGGAAAACTGTATACAAAATTTTAGAACAATCCATCCAGTGCTTTTAAGAAAACAGTAATAACAAGGATGTTTTAAAGACAGATGCACCAAGGGAAAAGGCTTAAAAACCCCAACACCAATTTCAAAATATTTTTGATATCTTCTGTGAAAATAGAAGTGCTGAAATGTTTGAGTGTAAAATACAAAGTCATGTAACTTTCAGGAAATTCATTTGATGATTCGATATTTACCTGAGAATATCACCATACAGGTTTGGCATTACCAGAACATCAAACTGAGTGGGATCTTGGACCATCTGCAACAAAAAATAGATAAAATACTATACCAGAAGGATCTACAGTTTCTACAGCCCATCACTAAAGATTCTAGAGCCCATCACTACAGTTGCTATTGCCCTACCCTATAGTTTCTATAGCTCATCACTAAACATTCTAGAGCCCATCACTACAGTTGCTATTGCCCTACCCTATAGTTTCTATAGCTCATCACTAAAGATTCTAGAGCCCATCACTACAGTTGCTATTGCCCTACCCTATAGTTTCTATAGCTCATCACTAAAGATTCTAGAGCCCAACATTTCAGTATCTATAGCTCATCACTACAGTTTCTATGGCTTATCACTACAATTAAATCATAAGACAGGTTTCCTGGAGAAAATGGGAAGAAAAAACAGCATTCAAAAGTCTTTGTTTTCATTTAAACAGATGACATGATAGAAATCCCCAATCCTGTAGACATCTCAAACAGCCAACATACAACAACATGGAATTTATGATACAACTTAAGACTATCTTCCTTAAATCCTGAGCGAGAGTATAAGACTTGAAACTTGAATTTCGGTATTTATCTGGTTATCTGAGGGCAACAATAAAATTGCAGTTTGCTTTTAAAGACTTACAAAAAACATTACATTTTAAAACAAGTGTCCCACAGGGCCTGAATCGCTCACCTTGCTTTGCTTGGCTGAAATTGCTTCATTAAAACTAACAGAAAAGGAATTCTAAATATCCAAGCACACAACACAAAACACATCTATTTTCCAAATTTGTTCCCCTTCCTCCAAGGTTGCTCTGACAAAATTTGATCAAAACTGGCTTAGTCATTCATGACAAGTAGTGATTTGTAGAAAAAGGTTGATGGATAGAAAGATGGATGGACTACGGATGCCACTGTATGCCAATAGCTCACTCTGTCTTTTGGGCCATGTGAACTGATAACATCTGATAAATTTTATAGACCAAAGAACTGTACAATATATGTTAAGCTCTTGGTTTGACATTTCAAATGTCTTCATTCTAGAAGAAATACATGGATCAAACAAAGTTTGGTCAAAGAAGCCTGGCTTACATTTAAACAGACAGTGTCAAGATACATCTCCCTGAAGCGGATATCCTTGTTTTCCTCTGCCACTTGCCGACAACACTTAAGGAAAAGGCCATCTGACATTCGCCTGTAAATTCAAGTTACATGTATTTTCTTACACACTCAAACAAATGATTCATCAAAACCTTAAAGAAAAAATATTTCTTCAGGACATGTAAATCTTTAATGTGAAATACTGAAAACATATAGTAAAAGAAAGCACTTTTACAACACTGTTACACTGTTATAATTTTCATAGTGATTTTCTTATCAATTCAGAGACACTAGTAATATAACAAAAGATTAAACCGTCTCTAAACTTCACTACACAATACTAATTTAATCGTCTCTAAACTTCACTACACAATACTAATTTTTACTCTTTATTCTTTACTTAATTTATAAATCATTGAAGGAATGCCAAAAACAACACTAACAGTTAATCTTTATTAATTTGTGATAAAGTCTTACATGATGTTTGCTTTATGCACAGCTGTGACAGTGTCCCTGTTGTTGTCTCGAGCATATTTAAAAGCATACTCTGCCACTCGTCTAGAAGCGTCTTCCGTAATCAATTTAATACTCTGTACCACACCATCTACAACCTTAAAGAGAAATCATAGCAAGCTTAGTAAATATTAAAAACTACATTTGAGAATTTTAAAAATTTAAAGACATTTTTTATTGTTGTATGTATTTAAAGAAAAATAAAGTTTCAATGCTGCTTTCTTTTCTCTCTCTCAAAATATTGCAACTTTTTCCAGTCCTCCAAATAATTTACCTGTACCTTGGATAAGACTTTGATCCCTCATTATTTCTTTGTAAAAATATTAAAAAATGCATGCTTTCAAATGTACATGTATACTGTTTAAATCATAGAAAGCATTCTCCTTTTTCTGTAAACAGCTTGGATTATACAAATTATAGATTATATAAATTAAATATCTCATCAGCAAAATTGACCCTGGAGTACATGTTTATTCACCTCATGTTCAATACCACTGTATTCTCCTTCAGTGTTTTCCCGGATGGTAACCAAATTCACATCTGTGTAGGGAGTCTGGTATCCTTCTATGGACTTGCAGGGACGAACATTGGCATACAATTTAAAAGCTCTGAAAAAAAGTTTGTTAACTTTTGCAACAACTTATAGTTAGCTTCTGCTCTAAAATGTTCTATGTCATAATTAGGAGGAAACTGCATTTACAGATGATAAGACATATGAGAAAAATAAAGTCACAAAAATATGCAACCTCTACAATCATTTTCAAACTTTCAACCTTGTTGTCACATTACAAATTCTTGGTGTCACATTACACAACTCTTCACATTTTAAAACCCTTAATGTTACAAATTACAAAAGCAGTCCATTATCTTGTTTAATACAATCCCTAGACTCCATAAACAGCTCTTGATGTCACATTAAAACAACTCCTGATGTCATATTAAATAACTCTTGATGTCACATTGCACAGCTCATGGTGTCCAAAATAAAAAGTTCTTGATGTCACATAAACAGATTTTGATGTCACATTAAACAGCTCTTGATGTCATATTAAATAACTCTTGATGTCACATTAAACAACTCTTGATGTCACATTAAACAACACATGATGACACATTGCACAGCTTGTGGTGTCACATTATTCACCTCTTGATGTCACATTAAATAACTCTTGGAGCCACATTTAACAGCTCTTGTTTTAACATTAAATAACTCTTTATATCACATTAAACAACACATGGTGACACATTACACAACTCGTGATGTCCCAAATATAAAGCTCTTGATGTCACATTAAACATTTCTTGGTGTCACATAAACAGATTTTGATGTCACATTTAACAGCTCTTGATGTCACATTAAATAACTCTTGATGTCACAGTAAACAAATCTTCATGTCAAGTTAAACAAATCTTGATGTCACATAAACAGATATTTATGTCACATAAACAAATCTTGATGTCACATTAAACAATTTTTGATGACACATTAAACATCTCCTTATGTCACATTATAGAACTCTTGCTCTTTTGTTCAATCAACATTGTTGCCTAATTACAACCCTTGTTGTTACATGATATGGTACAAGTATAATCAATGTTAATTGGATGAAAACAACCTTGAATGTCATGTTACATTGCTGTCACATTACTTAAGAGACATCTGATACATCATTATATAATCTTTGATATGTTATTTTACTTTTCCTATACTCACTTCCTTAAGGCCAAGTTCAGGGACTGGTGACCTTTACCCACAGGAGTAGCTAGAGGACCCTTCAGACCAACTTTTGTTTTATCCATGGACTCAAAAATTTTCTGAGGTAAGCGGAAATTACCATCTGGTCCTTTTACTGGCGTGACATCAACATCTTCCCAGTGAATAGGTGCCTGGAAAACAGACACATTAATGTGCCAGTAACATCATTTTTATTTCTAACCAATATTTTTACCATGCTAATCTTAGTGTCTTTTACATCAGTACAATACATTGTTATGGATAATGGTACAGCCTTCTTTATCCAATAAGTGTTTACAGTATGGGATGGTGTTAAGGGCTGTAAAAATACTGTTTCTCTTGAATTTCACCAATTTCAGGAACTTTGTACCCTCATTAAGGCGTAATAGGGAAGACTGTTATAATTATCATAAGTGACTGTGGTTGGATAACAAATTTCATAAAACATGAATGCATTGCAAGGACTGAAAGTTTCATCACAATATTGAATAAAATTCTTTCACAGTACAAACATGAATGTGTTAAACTAATGACAAAAACAAAGATATGTTCATTACAGTAGCAAAAAGGAGAGAACAGGAATTTTAATGGATATCATATTATCTCTTACCCGCAGCATAAGCTGCTAACTTACCCCTGCAGCACTAAATATTTGTTTAACAGAATCGGAGATCTCTGGTCCAATTCCATCTCCAGGAATCATGGTCACCAGGCGACTCTGTGAAGGCAAACCATTTTTAAAATTACAACATTTTAAAAAAGTATTGAGGGTTGATTGACTTAAATTTGACAACTGTACATTGTATCTTCCATGACCATCAACTTGCTGCACTAGGTATTTTATCATAAAGAAATATATATATATATTCACCTATTTGACCACTCAGCAGGTAAAAGCAGATAAAATTGCAAAATGTGTTGCTTTTCAATTTTAATAATGTCGACAACATTACTGGTAATTTGTAAAAAAAAGTATAAATTAAACTCACCTCTGATGAAAAGTTCCTGGACAGAATTGCATGATCCTGAGGTTGTTTGGAAAATAAATGTGTGATATTTATTATCATTTATAATTCTTATATTGGTGATAACGAATTGGTAGACTTAAACCGATTCACCTTGGTATCACTATTTCGATAAATGGTATCGCAGATTTTTGAAGGAAAACGATTATTGCCAAAACCCATTAATGAGTCCGAAACTGATGAAAGTGATGTATTACTATTAGACTAATAATAAGATATTCGTTGACAGATTTGTCATTTTGTGTTTATACAAGTAAAAAATATATAAAAATCTAACCAGGAGGTAATTAGTAAAATATTCGATGCAAGAAAAATCAACAAGTTGGTAACAATTGCCAATTGATCGTATGACATGAAAAAATCGTCTGCAACACACGTGGGAGCATCGTGATTCGTACCAGACTTGTCTTACCAAATCACTCCCTTTCAGAATTGTGACAAAACGTAAATGCTATAATAATGCATACAACTTCATACAATAAACCAGAAACTTGATTGAAAATGAATACCCGTGCTGGAAGATCGACAATTAATTTCCTCAGCAACCGACGAGCCATTGTTGACCTTCACGAAGATGGCGCTGTGTCATTTCCTTATTCAAGATCAAGAAGGTGTTTACGTTGGATATCGTAACATTAAAGCGATGGGCGCGGTGGTTGAGATACAATTCGGATTTATTTATTTATTTTTCAGTCTTGTAACCAAATAGATTTTAAAAATAAAATTTGCACATGCACTATCAATCTGATTTCAATTGTTTCTAAGTCTACAGTATTGTGACTCATATTGACAGCTGATAGGACTGACAATGATGTACTGCAGTAAAATTGTTTTCACAGTTGCAATAACTTGTCATGTTCTGTATTTTAATAACAAAAAATGCTTGGAGTCCGAACTTTATATACTGTTGGCTACTTCCTACTTTACTCACATGCATGTTTACATAATCGGTAACGTTTTGTTATGAAATAGCAGTATTGGTTTTTTTTTTAATAGCCATGGTATAATTTCTATCAATACCTAATTATGCTCCTGACATTTACGTCATTCACCTCTTGAGCATTGCATTCCTAATGCAACTTTTTGTTTTTTGGAATTTATTTCCCTCTTCATTTTTTTTTTTTTTTTTGCGAGGTTGAGGGGAAGGAATGGAATTTCTTATTTAAATCAAAAGAGAACCATAAGAAAACATGATTGAATCGAGTAATGATTTAAAAGCAAAATAATAAATCTGTCTAAAAAATGGTGAAACGAGAAAAAATATGAAAAAGGAATAATTCTCACGTTGATACCCGGGAAAGAATCAGGACTGATAGGACTAAAAACGACAAAATCCTCCGAAAATGATTGTCTCTAAGAACAAGTACATCGTTTTCTTTTTGTTTGGTTCTTACTTCGTAATGCGAATTCACAGGTATATAATATTACATTTTACAAACTGGGAAAATGTGGTCAAAAAGATCGATGATATGAAAATTATGAAAACCATGTTTCAAACATTTTTCAGCTGGACTAAGATATGATTATTGCTTTATGAAACAATTACTTAACTGGCAGACTAGTCTTCTGTTCTGACGAGCCTTGGCACTTCGAACCATTTCGAGCTGGTTTTGATTTTGGTGGGTTTTTTTCAGAAAACCACATACTTATACAAAGTTTACGGTAAACGAATGTCTTTTTCCGGATTGCTTGTCACCATTGTTAATTCAACTATTAGACTCACCATCTCTATCATGGCGACGCTTTGTTGGTGTCAACATGGTGGGAGACGGGCAGACGGAAGTGACGGCCAGCTGACGACTCAGCTGCGACTCCGAACACTCGAGAAAAGGTTCTGCTAGATGCAGCCGAGTTCAGAAAAGTCTACTCAACTCACCACGAAGGTATAACTATTTAAGAAATGGAAACTTTAGCTCTATTAATAGAACAAAAAGAATGACAGCTGATCGCAGACAAGTACAAGTCACAATAACCATTATGATGCTTTACAGAAATATTTGATTTCCTCTAAATTTGCAGAAATCATTCACTCACGTAATGCTGTTTGTTTTAACTGTATAACGCTTATATGTTGAAGACTTTTCGATTAGTCCAATGTGTCTCGATTAAAAAGCAAAAAATACGAAACCAAAAAACCCAGCAAGAGCAATATCCGGCATTAGTCGAGTTTAGACTACCATTTGCACCCTTATGCATTTGAGTGCATTAAAGGCTTTCTTCCCTTACAGAACAATAAGGATACATTGTATCAATTAAATAGCTCATGAAAAGAGAATAAATTCTTGGTGCTCATTGATATGTAAAGAAGCTAATTTTTATGTAATTATATTTGAATAGGTAACTATGGCTGACAGATATCCCTCCCAGCAAACTGCTGAAGATGTAGACTTCTGTGTTGATCCACGGTTTACTGATCTACAGCGGATTGGCTATGGTGGGAATGGTATTATATATTCTGCAACAGACAGTGATTGTGATAAATCTGTTGCTATCAAGAAGCTGTGTTTTATCGACAAAAAAAGCTGTAAATACGTGTTAAGAGAGATAAGGATAATGCGACGTCTACAACATGAAAATATAGTCACAGTCTACGAAATACTGGGTCCGAATGGATTTGCTATGGGCTGCCATGGCAACATCAATGTAAATGAAATGAAGAATATTTATGTCATTCAAGAATTACTTGATATAGATCTCTACCAGCTTATTCAGCAGGGTCAGATGACAGAGGAGCATGCTCGCCTGTTTCTGTATCAGCTGTTACGAGGTCTCAAATACATACATTCAGCAAATGTTGTCCATAGAGATCTGAAGCCAGCCAATCTTCTTATCAACCTTGATGATATGGTATTAAAGATAGCCGACTTTGGACTTGCCAGAGTGGTGGATACAGAATATTCTCATAAGGTATTTTCTAATTTGCTTTCTTACTCAATAGTATAAGACTCAGTTTCATTTTGTCTTTCATAGTAAGTTGAAAATATAGAAATTAATCAATTGAAGAACTTTATACAAAAGTTAAGTGTTTTTTTTTTTCAAACATATACATATCATCTACTCTGAGAATTAGAGATTATTTTGGGCCATATTTGTAACTTACACTAATCTGGAAGAAACAATAAATTTACAAAATTCTCAAATTACTTTTTAGATTTATAAGTGTATGTCATTATACTGTGTTTGTTAGATATAACTGAAATAACTCTATAAAGTCTAGTAAAAACTTAAAAAATACATACCTCAGTATATTATACGTGTATGAATAAAGGCTGTTTCCCGAGCCAAAATGTGAATTATTTTCCCAAAATGAAGCAAAACACAAGAATATTTTCCAAATTTATCATAAAACCCATCTCTATTTTCCCAATTTATTAAAGCACAGGCTGCTGTTAAATCAACGTTGAAAAAACACTGCATGTGTTGTGTACAGCTGTGTTAAATATAAGGAATGTTTCAGGGTTTTCTGACAGATGGTGTAGGAACATGTTGGTATCGATCCCCAGAGCTGATAGTGTCACCCAGAGACTACACCAAGGCTATTGATATATGGGGAGTTGGATGTATCTTTGCTGAGATGTTGTCATGTAAACCACTATTCCCTGGAGCCAATGAAATGGATCAGATGGGGCAGATAATTGATGCACTCTCTCTTAATGACAATGAGTGGAATGTACTTACACAAGTTCTGCCAGGATCAGTGCTCCGTCAGCGGTCAAAGGCTCCAAAACACTCTCTCAAATCTAATTTCAAAGATTTTAGTTCTGATGGTAAGATTTATTCAGAACCAAGTTTGGTTCTTTGTTTTCTGTGTTTATCGCCCTGTGAAAGTCAGGGTCATTTTGAGGTGGGGTCTCCTTGTAGTGGCAGATCTAGACCAGTCTATTTCAAATTTCTTTTGAAACACATACCGAAACAGATGTGTCAATGTCTCGGGGAGAAAATAATGTCAAGTGTTCAGCTCAAAATTTACCTGTATTGCATGAGTTTTCTCTGACTTTCAAAGAGAACATGAGCACTGCTACAACAGAATCTAACACTGTTTCTGTGTGACATTGCATTTTATGGAACTTGTCCAACAACTTCATGTGACTCTCACCTTAAGATTTGTATCATAGCTATTGTTGGCCATGTATAATGAATTAATATGATTCGTGTGAGGTTATCTGTATAACTTCTATAGTTGGCACTTTGTCCACACTTCTATCCATTCCTTTGTTTGTCCATTTTTTTTCTGTCTGTCCATTTTGATTTGTCTGGAGCATATCACAAAAACTATAAGAGGTATCAACATGAAACTTCATAGGTAGATTGATGTTGATAAGGAGAAGTACAGTGTACAAGAATCATAATGTAGGAGTTCTTGAAATTTGGTTTGTACATTAGCCATACTAAGAGAATGTGGAGTATGCCAAATTCAGGGCCTACAACTTCTTAATTACAAAATTATTGCATTTTGAAAAAAATTTGTGTCCAATAAAGTAATTTTCGGGGAGCATTCACCAGTCTCACTGACATTCTTGTTGCTTTCTACAGCTGTTGATCTACTGGAGAAACTGCTGGTGTTCTGTCCTGGTCAAAGAGTCATGGCAGAAGAAGCTCTAGCTCATCCTTATCTCCAAAAGTACAGTTGTCCAGAGGATGAACCGATTGTCATCAAGTCCTTTCATATAGAACATGAGGTATGTACATAATTACATCAAAATTTTCTCTGAGAATAAATAGAAACCAGGGTTTTAGTTTATGCACAGTTGTTTTGAAATCATTGAAAATAATGACAATTATTGAATTTTAGGGTTATTGGTTCTCCCCATTTGGCTTTTTAGCAAATTTGATTTTCCTCCATCTATTTATAGTGTTCAACAATTAGTATCACCGATGAGTTCAGATCCGTGAAGGATGAAACAGCTGTATGATGCACTTCATTTTATTATTACTTTTTTCAGATTGACGATTTGTCTCCTAAAGTACTAAGAAAAATGATCAACCAAGAATCAATTGAAAAACCAAATCAATGTGGCAGCCATATTGAAGTCACAAGGGTAACAGATATCAAAGATATTTTGGTGGAGAAGCAGACTTTTTGTAATAAGCAGGAGAGTCTAAAAAAATCATTGTCTTCATCATCAACATCATCTGCCACTTCATCAACAAAGTCATCAACGAAAAACTCAGGGATATTTAATGAAAATCAGGATATCATAGATGATTTACTTAGCAACAGTACTGACTCTCTGACAGAAATTCAAATAGTCCCTTCAGATGATATATGTGAAGAAATTCTGCTTATAGAGGAAAGTACTCCTAAAGAAATGCAATTGAATGTAGTGGTAAACTTACCTGATGAGGAAAACAGGAAAGAACAACTTTCTCCAAAGGAGGAGAAATTCCATGAAGAAAAGGAGAGTGAAAATAGGGGAAACAAAAATGTTTTGTCTTCTCCAAGATCTCAGGGAAACAAAGGTTTGAGGAATTTCACATGTCCAAAGGTGAAAGATCGTCTTAATGAAGAAAAACGAGCAGAGTCACCAAGAGATGAGAAACAAAATATACTGAAAGGAAAAATTGACCTTGAAGGAGTCATACATAAAGGTCGCAGCAAAGAGAAAAGCAAGGGGGATAACTCTAAACAGGAAAAAATGAAAAACAATAAGAACAATAAATACAGTGTTGATACAAATCCAGATTTTGACTCCATGTATCGCTTACCAACAGAGCATCTGATGACACAACGACGCAACAGTATACAGGATAGAAGGATTCCGGTACCTACACGTGTAGAGGATCAGCTAAAACTGCATGAACAGTTAAACGAAAAGTTGAGATTGGCAGAGTTGGAACGAGATTCCTGCAGGTGCTCTGGGGCCAGTGGTGGGAATGTGACTTTTCCTGAGTCGGAATTCAGAGATGAAATCTTTGGAGAGCATATTCGTAGTCGCACAGGTAGTGGTAGTTCTGGGTCAAATCCATCTCGTGAAGACAGTCCAAGCTGTGAACTACCTCACAGAAGGTTTGAGCATTGATGTTAGTATATATATTAAATGCTGTTGATTCCTTAGAAAGATTATGTTATATAAAATTTCACCAATCAGTATTGTGACATGAAAAGAGTGCAATGAAGTGTATAGTACTACTGATGTTTTTCTGTAGTTAGATAATGATTCTACTTTAAAAGTAAAAGAAACAAATCCTTAAATTATTTTTCTTCTTATTACTCAATGTTCATTCATCTTGTGGTGGAGTGTTATATTGTGTCTTGATAAAATTTTAGTGTAATACTGGTGATGTTGGGAGTTTTACATTATGACAAGGTTTGACTTGACAGAGAAAAATCATATACCTTTAGAATCTATTTTGATTTTTTTGTCCTCATATTTACAAATACTTGTAATACAAATTAAATCTAGCAGCTAGGTCTTGTTTCTCAGTTGTGTTTTTTTGTTTTTTGTTTTTTTTTTTAATTTTTGTAACAAAACCATAAGAGGAACAAATGTTCCAGTCGCCCTTTTAACCCAATATCAGGTATTTTGAAAAGAAGTTTTTTATCACAACCAATAAGAAATTGGTGTGTAACATTTCAATGACCACTCTGTCATTTTCATTTGAAAAATAATCAGTGCGAAGCATATTAGCACCAAGGTATTTAATATACTTGTAATCTTGTGTCAAGAAAGATGGAAAGAAGTGTGATGAGATGGTGATAAGATTTTATCAAAAACAAGTCCAATAACTTATTTTTTACATACAATTTTGCTGCTTCTTATTAGTTTTTATATAAGATCTTATATATTACCAATTATTATTGTTGTACATATTTGAAAGAAAAAAAAGAAAAGATCTGTAAGGAATTTATAGAGGAAATTTTATTTGTTTTGTCTAGTCATGATCAAGGTAGAAACATCTTGAATGGCTGTCTTCTTTTATATGTTTAAAGGGTAGTAAATTTTTATTAGCTATTTAAAATTTATATCTAATTATGAATAACAAAATTCCATGTAATTAGCATGATCGTCATCATCATGAAATTTAATAATCAGTTGATCATGTGTGATTATATGTACAAAAGATTTAATGAGTTTTTAATCCCAGAAGCACAGACTGAAACTGACATTTACTGAAAGTCCATTTCCTGTAAAATCATTCCTTTTTAAGGGGATTTATTTTCAGTAATTCCATCGGAATTCTTAAACCATGAATTTATGTATTCACAAAATATTTTTTGTTGAGAAATATTGACCCAGGAACCAAATGTTGTCCATGAAATAGTGAACATGTAACATGAAAATTGAGATCCACAAATAATGGATAATTTTACAGCGTTCATTTAAATTTAGTTTTTGCCAGTCTCTTAAATAACATCATTTATGGATTGTTAAGTTTGAAATACCTGCTAGTATTTAGATTAATTGATTGATATATATATAAATATGTAGAGAGAGAGAGAGAGAGAGAGAGAGGGAGAGAGAGATTATTGAATTGCATATGATTTTCTTTGCATTTATAGCTTTTTACGCCTCAAGGTCGAAATATCAGTGGCATTGTTTTTGTGCTGCCTGTTTGTCAGTTGTCAACTATAACCTTGCCAATTACAATTGCACCATAACAGGCAGGGCTTTCATATTTGGTGTACATGTTCCTTGACAAGACTTTTCCAGTGGTACCAAAATTTGAAACCCTATAACCTTGACTGTGACCTTTGACCTACAAAAGACCATGTACGTTTGAAAAAATGTAGCATTGGCCATAATTTTACACCATAACAGGCAGGGCTTTCATATTTGGCGTGCATGTTCCTTTGACAAGATTTCAGTGGTAACAAAATTTGTGACCATATGACCTTGACCTTTGACCTACAAAAGACCATGTATATTTGAAAAATTGTAGCATTGGCCATAACTTTTACACCACAATAGGCAGGACTTTCATATTTGGCTTTTCTCGTGGTATCAACCTTGACCATGACATTTGACCTACATTTGAAAGTGAAAAAAATCATTACCACAACGAAGACACAAGTGTTTCACAAAGTGTGCATGCAATTAACACTTGCCTTACACAGTACAGTTTTAATGTCCCACTTCAGAATTGTTTTGCAACTGGGGACATAGTGTTACATAAACACCCCTTTTTTCATTTCCATTTTATAATTATGGATGATGTCAATGGATATCTTGCCAAATTGACTTTATTTTTTAGACTTATATAGACATATGTTTGTAAGAGATGGTAGATGCAACACTTAACATATGTAGAGAAATGACTTAATGAATTTCTATGTTGTGAAGATACAAATGAAGAACAACCTTAACTACAGTGGTGTTTTAATGCATTTTATTCCTTTGTTTATACATGTTTTGCCTGGTATTTATACATTTGTGAGCCAATGGTGTTTTTATGGAAATGTCATTTCCTTTAGGGTTCATAATGGTATATAGCTGTATACTAAGTATCATATGTATTGGTACACACGTACTTGCCTTCTTTTTACAAAGATAATCTTACATGAGTTTTTATTTATATGAGGTTTACTTTCAAGTCTTACAATTTTTCATTTTACAGTGCCTCTGGTGAAGTATGATGAAAGAAAAAATTGAACTGAGTTTCCAAATCTCAAATCAAAAATTGAAATGAATAAAAGATTCTGTTTCTCATAACTGAAATGTTTTGGCAACATTTTTGAAAAGAGCATTTTCCTCGACTGATACAAAATCTAAATTGTCAATCTCTCTTTGTCTCTCTTTGGTGATGTCACAATGCATACAGTACCATGAAGCACATACTTGCCCATCCTTGTTACTACAGGGGTTACGATCACTTTCGCTTTCTGCACCCCTGGAATATGTCCTGGCAAAATAGAAGGCACAAGCAATGTAATTTGATTGATTCTAGAAGAAAAAAATTGGCAAATGAAGGAACTTATTACAGAGCGACACATGGAACCTTCAATTTTGCCATGACATGTTTTTCAGGGGTGCAGAGAGCGAGAATGATACTATCCAACCCTCACAATTTAGGAGGCAGGCATACGATTTCGGACCCCTAATTTTGTGGTTTTAAACAAGTAAATTTGCTGAAATATTCTTTTATTCTATTTACAAGTTTGATTTCTTTACTGAGAATAGATTTTCACCCAAATACAAAGTGTAGTTAGATGGGTATATTGCCTAAATAAAATTCTTATTTGGGTTCTTAAAATCAATAAGATTGCCTGTTTTTCCATGAAATATGATTTACATATTATTTACACTAAACAAATTCTATGTCATTCTGATCTCCATGAGTTACTACCCTTTGTCAGATGGTATAGCAATGAGCTTGACTGCCGATAGGCCGAGAATGATTCTGTGTATATTGCTACTGTTGAAATGTCAAAGTCTAAGCTGTATACTTTATAGTGTTATCATACTGCATGTATGATTGAGGACTGGATATATAATGTTACCAATGTCCTTCCATCCTGTTCTAGTGGTCATTACTTGAATACCATTAAACATATCAGATTCTCGTTTGCATAGAAGCAGAGGCATTTATATCTTTATAGATTTCAATATATGATAAACATAAGAAATCTAAAATGTACTTAGAATACAGATGTATAACTCAGAAACACATTTGTTATGATGCAATGACTGATTATATCAAGCATCATGAACTCTGATTGCAATGTATTGTTATATTACAGTAATAAAGATGATTTGCGAAGTGTTTAACTGTTTTAAGTTGACATTTCTGGGCCAACTGGACCAGGCTTTGTTCGTGAAGTGTATGAACTATATTCTCTACATGGCAGACACAGTGTTTATTGCTGATACAGGGACATTGTCTTTAGATGACAAATTAATATTTATATACACTGTGGCAGCTATCCATGAAATTAAATTGTTTATTGATGACACAGTGACATTGTCTATAGAGGACATATTTCCTCCATCAGCCATTCCATGTTGGAATTTGCTGAAATGTAATGAAAGTGACACTGCATAGTAATGACATAATGACACTGTCTGATGATGACACAGTGACATTTTCTGTGTTCTAATTTATTATTGTGAGAGTGTCATTGTTTTTTAGGCAGGCATTCAGAAGTAAGTTCCTCATATGAAGGTGTAGTTTTGGATTGAAATAGTGATATTTCAGGATTTTTAGTCTAAACGTGCAGTTATGTTTTCATCCTATTATCACAGCCTTTGGAATTAATTGTTACTACCAATCCTAGCTTTCTGATAGGTGGAAATTTTCAAAAGTTCATCAGTGTCCCCTGGTGGCAGGTGTCTACTATAAACAATGCCACTGTCTTTTTTTTAAAAAAAAAACTGTCATGCATGCATACATTTTCTGTAAGACAAAAAAGTATTATTATACTAAAAACTTACCAAAATTGACAGTCTAGGTGTTCATAAAAATTGCGCCAATTACACACTAGCATTGCATTGGTTTGCAGGGGATTCTCTAATGCATGACAATATGGCTGAACACACAGAATTATAAAAAAGTCGATTTTGCTTTGATATTTGTTCGTAAGTAACAGTATCATTGGTTTTGATTTGTCAATTGGAATAATCTACTCCTTGACTTTTACCCCAAGTGAGGGTACATTCAAGTTCATGTTTCCAACAAGAGTAAAGTTTAGAGTAGTAATCGTTTTCACAATTACATCTGATATTTTCTATAGCTTGGGAGGTGCCGGTGGAAGGCTGGTGGTTTCCGGATGACACTTTTCCTTCATGAAGTAACCAACCCGATTCCTCTAGTGAAAGTAGATTCTCCAATCTTGGCCTTGTTTGAACCTGTAGGTACACTCTTTTAATGTGACACTTGGCTGCCGCAAATGTTGGAGGAAGCATGTGGACTTGCACTGAGGGTTTTCCACGAATGATCCATCTACAAACCTATGGTACAATAAAACTTGTCCTCTCGGCTTCCATTGGTCAGAATGGCTACTGTTTTTTCACCAGTGATGATGATTTATGCAGATGAAGAGTCTCTACAAAGACATCTGCATGTTTTTTCAGGGTGATGTCCGTTTTTTAACGAGACTGCAACGCAGTCTAAGGGAAGGAAAACCCCAACAGAAAAACCCTGGTCCTCTGAGTCTGGAGGTTGGGCAGGAGGCGAACTACCTCCTCCCAGAAAAAACTGATTACAAAATTTATGGACATCAATCAACATGAAAACCTTGGAGGAGAGGGGATTGCCGGCATTGGCACTATGGCGATGATGGGTGAAAGCTTACCGGAAACTCCGCGTACGACGAGATCTCTTGCAAGCCCCAAAACAACTTTTTCCATTGGACATCAGAATGTGAGAACGATGTACAGAGGAGGAGCAACGGCACAGATAGCAAGGGAGATGGAGGGGTACCACATGAATGTACTTGGGATTATTGAGTGCAGATGGACTGGAGCAGGCAGGATGAAGCTGGCAACAGGACAGACACTGATTTACAGTGGAGAGGAAGAACTGCACGAGGGAGGTGTTGCCATCCTGATTAGCCAGAAAGCAGTAACATCGCTCATGGAATGGACTCCTATCAACAAGAGAATCATAACAGCCAGATTCTATTCGAGGTATGGAAGAATAAGCAGCATACAAGTCTATGCCCCCCACAAGGAGAAGATCCTGAGAAGGAGCAGTTCTATCAGGAGCTCCAGGAAACAGTCGATGGATGTAACAAGAACGACATCATCATCATCATCATTGGGGATCTGAACGCCAATGTTGGGAGTGATAACACCGGATATGAGAGGACAATGGGTGTGTACGGGTTTGGAACACAGAATGACAATGGAGAGAGATTATGCGAGTTCTGTCAACTGAGTGGGCTGGTGATAACAGGTACATTATTCCCCCACAAAGACATCCATAAGGCAACATGGGTGTCAGCAGAGTAAAGAACCAAATCGATTATCTCTTGATCAGCGGGCAGTGGAGATCATCCATACTGGACACCAGAGTACAGAGGGGTGCAGATACCAACAGCGACCACTACCTTGTGAGGACCAATATCAAACTACGCCTTCAGTCACACAGAAATAAGAAAAAGGTTAAGCCAAAGATTGATGTTGACCGAGTAAAGGACGAGGAAACCAAGCGAAAATTCTGTAAGTCAGTGAGGAGTAAGCTTGAGGAGAACAGGACTGAGATTGAGGATATAGAAGAGATATGGGAACAACAGAGGAGTGCCTACACCAACGCGGCAGGGGAAGTGCTTGGGTCCAGGAAAGGGAAGAGCAAGCCATGGATAACTGACAACACCTGGAAACTGATAGATGAGAGGAAAGACATTAAGATCAGGACTGACAGTACTTGCTCAGAGAGGGTCAAGAACAGGATGAAGGAGGATTACAGGGAGAAATGCTCAGAGGTGAAAAGAAGTGTGAGGGAAGACAAGAGGAGATGGATGACGGAGAAATCACAGCTCAGCCAGCAACAGAGAACGGGCGACAGAAAGAACTCTACAGCATAGTAAAACAGCTGACAGGACATAGCACCAGGCAAGCAGCTGCGATGAAGAGCAAGGATGGAGAGCTGCTGAAGAACAAAGAAGCTAGGAAGGAAAGATGGAAGGAGCATTTCCAGGAAGTGCTTAACAGAGAAGAACCACCACAAGAAGAAGGTGAAGGAAACTCCATCCTTGCAAGAAATAAGAGATGCACTGAAAACCCTCAATGATGGAAAGGCTCCTGGAGCAGACCAAATTACTGCTGAGATGCTCAAGGCAGACCTTGAGCTGACAAGTATTGAGCTAAGATGGATTTTTGACTTCATTTGGCAGAAAGAAGCAGTTCCTACACAATGGAAAAAAGGACTCATTTGCAAATTTTCAAAGAAAGACAACCTACAGGAATGTGGAAATTGGAGGGAAGTTACGTTGCTGCCACTGGTCAGCAAGGTGCTCAGCAGGATCCTGCTCAACAGGATACTGACAGAAGTGGATTTATCACTCAGGAAGGCCCAAGCCGGCTTTCGGACAGGCAGAGGAACTGTGGTCCAGATATTCATTCTCAGGAATATCTTGGAACAAGTCAACGAATGGAATGCTACATTGTACATCCACTTCGTCGACTTTGAAAACATTCTTTGGATCAGTGTGGAATCCCTATGAAACTGGTCCAGATGGTCAAGACCCTTTATGAGGACTTCCAGTGCTCAGTCATAGATGAGGGTGAAACAATTGAGTGGTTTCAAGTGATGACCGGAGTGAAACAGGACTGCTGCATGTCAGGTGTCCTTTTCTTCCTTGTAATCGACTGGGTAATGCGGCGAACAACAGATGGGAAGAGAACTGGAATCAGATGGAACTTCACAACAATGATAGAAGACCTTGATTTTGCAGATGATCTTGCCCTTCTTTCATCTGCCATGAACCATCTATAACAGAAGACAGCAAGGCTTGAAGAAAATGCTGCCAAAGTAGGGCTGAAGCTCAACGACAAGAAATACAAGGTGATAAAAGCTAACAGAAGGAATGAGAGAAGTTGAAGGTGCGAGGGAATGAAGTAGAAGAGGTAGAGATCATTATATATCTGGGAGCTAATGTAACAAAGGACGGTGGAGGAACAGCGGACGTTAAAAAGAGAATAACCTTGGCAAGTGGACAGTTCAAACGGCTATCGAACATCTGGCAAGCTGGAGACATCAACAGAAAGGTCAAAGTCTCCCTTTTTAAGAGCCTCATACTATCGATGTTGCTCTATGGATGTGAGACTTGGAAATTGACCATGGGGGAGGAAGGAAATTAGATATCTTCAAAGTAAGTGTCTGAGAAGGAATCATTAGGATTCGGTGGGAGCAGCACATCTCGAATAAGACAGTTCTGGAGATGGTAGGGACAGTGAAGATAAGCCAGGAGGTGAGAAGAAGGAGATGGAGCTGGATTGGACGCGTCCTGAGGAAGGATCAACGGGATGACTGTGCTGTGGCCCTCGGGTGGACACCAGAGGGAAAAAGGAAAAGAGGCAGCCGTAAAACAGCTTGGCGAAGAATGGTGGAGGTGGAGTGGAATGGTGCTGGCTGGAGTACCTGGAACTCTGCACGCCGTGCCGCCGAAGATCGAAAACAGTGGAGAAGGGATGTCCAAGCCTTGTGTGCCTCCTGGCACAGAGAGACTTAAGGTTAAGATAAGATGGAGGGTGAAATGTTCAATATTATTCGTGCATTGTACAATGATATAAAATGTGTTAAATTAAATTAATATTTATCTGATTTCTTTAATTGTAAGAATGGATTGTTTCAAGGCGAAATAATGTCGCCGATTTTATTTTCCCTTTACGGTAATGATTTTGAGAAGAATTTTTTTCTAACTAATAATTGTCCACTAGAATTAAAAACTATTAATTCATTTTTATTAATGCATGTAGATGATATGATATAATCAGCTGAATCATCAGCAGGGTTGCAGAAAATTCTCTGTTCAATATACCGATAAACGGGATTTAACTGTAAATGTTGACAAAACAAAAGGTAGGAGTTTTTAGAAATTAATCTAAGTTAAAGATTACCGACAAATGATTTCATAATGGATACTGGTAAAGGTTAGAAAACGTTGATAGTTTTATTTATTTTGGTATTCTGATGATATTCAATGAAATCTTTTTCGGTTTGACACAACCAAAAATAACCGAGCAAGAAAAAAATGTTAATTGACACACACACACACACACATATATATATATATATATATATATATATATATATATATATATTGAAATTCAATTCAGTGTTTTGGAAACCTTTCTTAATAGTATTCTGAACTATTGTTCTCAGGTTTGGGGATTTCACAAAGCGCCTGATACAGATAAAATACATAAATTGTTGTAAGAGAATCTTGGGGGTTAAAATAGTATTTCAAACATTATGATTTACCAAGCATTTGGCAGATATTTCTATATATAATTCGCAAATTTAGAATTTTGAGATATTGACTCAAACTTAGAAACTCAGATAATGTATGTACTAAGGGCTAGTTTTGAAAATATATAAATTCTTATACAATGACTATCTTTCTTTTTCGGGGTGGTATTTCAACTATGTTAAACATATTACATTGCCAAGAAATTATGTCTCTTGTGCCATACCCAAGGGTCAATTCTTGCACCATGAATGTGTTCATCTATTGATACCTCTATAGTTATGCGATGAGGATATCGCCTGTTTCAACGATATAACCCATAGTTAAAAAGATAATTGTGACGTAATGATGGACAGACATAACAATTTTTAGACTGTGGTATCCATTCAGGAACCTAGCCACAATCTGAGACATATAGTGTGTTTTTGAGTTTATGGAGAACCCCTGCATCCTGTAAAGGATCCACTCCAACCCGCTGGTGTCATAAATCATGGCCGAAGGAAACTTCTCAATGAAATAACTGAGCAACATCATAGCGGATATTGAAGATACAAATCCTCTTAAACGAATAAGGATGGAAACTGAAACTACTAACACACCGCCAACGGACACTTCAGGAGACAATCAGCCAACCCTTGATGGTATCAATACTCAATCCAACACAATATCTGAATTTTTTAAAATCTACTTTATAAACCTTCACCTAAAACAAGAACTGTAAAATTTACGTCAGTATAAGAATTGTCATGTCTGTCCATTATTACGTCTCAATAATCTTTATAACCGCAAAGTTATACTTCATACGTCTTTATATTCTGTGAATTTGTCCTGATGACGGTCGCATAGCGGTCGAAACATGTCCACGGATTATTCTATAAATAGAACTACAACAATCGTTCCTGGATATTGAGAATCCTTTATTTTCGCTTTATATTTTCTTTTTTGTAACTAAGTAACATAACTTATATCACTTACTTAGAATTAATGTAAAAACCTTTATCTTTATTACGCATATTAATTTTTACTAAAATTTTGAATTCAATTTTGAAAAATAAAAGAAAATTAAAAAAAAAAAATAATGTCCTATCACCACCATCGCCACTTTTGATGTGAGATTTACATTTGATTTCCATATAACACTTAATGCATTAATAATATAAAACTTAAATTAAAAAGATAAATTGAACAGCATTGTATTTTAATTTTTTTGCAAAGCTTACATTAAAACCTTGGCCAACTTGACACACTCCCAGTCCCAAAATGTTTCAAACACGAGCAACAAATTGAAATCAATTTTCGAGATGACCTCAACTGCATGTACAAACACATGTTTAACGAGTCTAAATGTGGTTGGGTGGATGATACATGCGGAGGACACCTCAAACTTCCTGAGGCATCAGTATGCGCCAATTAATGTGTCCTGTCCTTGATCGGGCGTCCATGATATTTTGTGTTATTTTGATATTGTTAGATATCATCTGGGACGTATAATCGGGCGTCCCTGATATTATGTGGTTGAACGTTGTTGTTGGCCAGAAACTGGTCCCAAAGATGCTCCATCGGGGACAAATCAGGGCTATATGGCGGCCAATCTAGTGGTTGTATGTTGTTGTTGGCCAGAAAGACTTGGCAAATCCTTGCTACGTGGGGCCTAGCATTATCCTGCTGGAGGGCTAGATTATGATGCTGTAAGAAAGGGATAACATGGGATCGGAGGATCTCGTCTCTATACTTAGCTGCTGTTAAATTGCCATCAATAACTACCAATTGTAATTTTAACCCGTGTGAGATTCCTCCCCACACCATTACTGAACCGACCCCAAACCTATCCCTCTCTACAACGCAAGCGTCCGTAAAACGTTCGCCACGACGTCGGTAGACACGTTGACGGCTGTCAAATCAATAAAGACAGAACTTGTCTCCGCTGACTGTGTGGAAACCGTCGTGGAGCATGTGCAACGACCCAGGCCATACGGCGCTGACGTCGAGCAGAGGTAAGGTGTGGACCTACGTAGGGGCGACGTGCTCTTACAAAAACTTCTCGTAATCGATTCCTTACAGTTTTTGAACTTATAGGACGCCCATGATTTCCACGAACATTAAGTGCACTCTCAACGGCAGTAAGGCGCCGAATACGCACATGAGAGACGACGATATAGCGATCCTGACGTCGTGACGTTACGCGCGGACGTCCTGACCTAGGTCGATCGGCCAATCGCCCAGTTTCCCGAAGACGTCTTACAAGACGTTCTATGGTGGAAACATTATCACCAAAGTGCCTAGCAACCTGATTTTGCAGCTGTCCTTGCATCAGCATCTGAATGGCCTGACCCCTCTGAAATTCTGTGAGTCGTACCATTCTTAAAACGAATCGAATTCTCAATTAATTTTAGGGAAGCAGTTGGTCTGTATAAAGACTAACGAAGAGTGACTTGACCAACGCTGCATGAGACCAGAACAACACGGTGCACGAGATTCTTGTTTTTTCCTTCCTCCATTTACCAGTGCCATAGCGGGAAATACTTGTCCTTTGAGATATATACAGAGTTACTGTTCTTGGCGAGTGAACAGTTTCTTGTGCATGAAAGCCCGAGTTTGTTGAGTTTTCCGTCTGT